GAGTTACAGACAAATGTGAGTGCCTTGTGGGCACAGGGAACCGAACCCCTGTCCTTAGTAAGAGCGGTGAGTGCTCTTCTGAGTCATAGTTCTAGCCCCTGTTGTGTTTTTTTTTTAATCTTACGTAATACTTCCATAAAATCTCAGTAATCCTTTGCATACAGAAAATGGGTAAAACTTTGTCCTCTGTGGGGAGTGACAGGGACCAGATAGCCTTCAGTCTTTCTGGCTTCTTCTTCTTCTTTTTTTTTTAAAATACACACAACATCCATACTGACAACAGTGAACAGCTTGCAGACTTCGTTGTAGGAATCTACTTTGCATGTGCTCTTCCGTCTGCCTGGATTCTCTATCTCCTACTCCCATCCTTTCCTGTATAACCTTACCTGCTCTTCACTCTGTGTATGAGTTTATGTGTGTGTGGAGGTGTGTGTGGAGGGCAGGGGTCCATGCCAGTTCTGGGGATTGAACGTGCAGCCTCAAGCACTTAAGGCACGAAATCTACCACCGAGCAACAGGTGCAGCACTAGGGATCTTAGTATTTCTGCCATCCTGGTCCTGAGATTACAGGCTCCTTCAGGATGCTGCGGCTCTAACAAAGTCCTCATGCTTATGTGGCCAGCACTTTCCTGACTGAGCCGCCAGCCCGCATAATCTCAAGTCTCAGTATCCTGGCATAGTTTTTTTTTTTTTTTTTGGTTTTTCGAGACAGGGTTTCTCTGTAGCTTTGGCGCCTGACCTGGAACTAGCTCTTGTAGACCAGGCTGGCCTCGAACTCCCAGAGATCCGCCTGCCTCTGCCTCCCGAGTGCTGGGATTAAAGGCGTGCGCCACCATCGCCCGGCAGTTTTTTTTTTTTTAATTCTTTGTCCTCCCTGTGGAATCTGGGAGAGGGAAGTGACAATTTTTATGATTATTACTTGTTTGTTTGGTTTCGTCTGTTTGGTTTTTGAGACAGTGTTTCTCTGTAGCTTTGGAGCCTGCCCTGGAACTAGCTCTTGTAGACCAGGCTGGGCTCGAACTTACAGAGATCCATATTTGTTTGTTTTTTTTGGGACAGGGTTTTACTTTGTAGCCCTGGCTGTCCTGTAACTCATTCTGTAGACCAGGTTGGCCTTGAACTCACAGAGATCTGCCGGCCTCTGCCTCCTGAGTGCCCAATTTAGAGGTGTGCACCACCATTTCCCTGGCTGGAAGTGGTTTTATGACTTGTGTGTTCTGATGAAGAAAATGTTCTGTGTAAGAATATAGTACTTTCTTAGAAAATGTGGAGAAAGTATAACTATTAGCACTAGTAAAGTTACAAAGACTAACTTCTGATACAAGGTACCAGGATGAGGATTGTCCTATAATAAACTGCAAAAGGAATAGCATAAAAGCACTATAGTTTGGAATAATCTAAGAAGACTGCATATCAATGATGAAGCATGGAACAGTCCTTTGTAGCCTCCTCGGACAGTTTCTCCCTTTTTTTATGTATTCCATGTTTGCGTATGTTGTGTGTATGTGGATGATCATGGAGGAAAGAGGTCAGTATTGAGTGTCTTCATTGACTCTCCACCTTATCGTGTATATGTGATATGTATACCTGTTCGTGTGTATGTGTGTGTGTGAGCCGGAGCTCGACATTGGTATCTTCCGCTGTCACCCTTCACCTACTTCTTGTTTGTTTATTACTTACTTTGAGACAGGGACTCACTGTGTTTGCCTCAAGCTCGGAGATCCTCAGCCTTTCTGTCTTGCTAGTGCTGGGATTAAAGGCATGGACCGTTTGCATGCCTTCACATTTTGGGGACATGAGTTCATTGACCCAGCTATTCTTGCTTACCAAAGAGCTCCAAGTAGGATTGGAGACATGGTTCAATGATTAAGAATGCAGTTGCTCTCCCAAAGGACCCAGGTTCAATTCTCAGCACTGACACGGTGACTCACATCCACCTATAAATCTAGTTTCAGGGGATCCAACTCCCTCTTTTGGCCTCCATGGGTAACAAACACATATGTGGGACACAGATACATTTGTTGGCAAAGCACTCATACACTTAAAAAATAATAAAATGTTCAATTTTTTTAAAATTCCAATTGGGCATAGTGGGGATGCATGCCTTTGATTCCAGCATTTGGGAGCCAGAGGCAGGCAGAAGCTCTTATAAGTTCATCAAGTGAATCCCCGTGAGCCAGTCTGGTCTTTATAGTGAGTTCCAGGCAGCCAGAGCTACATGAGAAACCTTGTCTCAAAAATAAACAGCCTGGTGATGGTGGCGCACACCTTTAACCAATCCCAGCACTCGCGAGGCAGAGGCAGGTGGATCTCTGTGAGTTCGAGGCCAGCCTGGTCTACAGAGCGAGTTCCAGGGCAGGCTCCAAAGCTACAGAGAAACCCTTTCTTGAAAAACCAAAAAATAAACAAACAAGTAAACAAGCAAACAAATGTAAAGAAGAACTCCAAGGATCTCACCTCTCTCTGTTCTTCCTTCCCAGCACTGAGGTTGTAAAGTCACACTTGGCACTTACGTGGATTCTAGGATCCACACCAGACCCTCTGCTTATTTGGCAACAAACACTTTATCAACTGAGCCAGCAATGTCAGATCTCCGCAATATCAGATGGCACCAGAAGTGACCCTTAAAAAAGTGACCCTAACCTAACAAAATAAATAAAGTTCATGGGATGAACTGGGGACTGGAGAGATGAATGGCCCAGCACTTAAAAGCGCTTTCTGTTTACATCCTGGAACGCCAGTTCTGAGAAACCTGCTGCCTCCTGGCTTCCACAGGTGGCACACATTTAAACAGATACACACACATATACATAAGTTTGTTTGGGTTTTTTGTTTCTGGTTTTTTGTTGTTGTTTTCTTTTTCTTTTGGTTTTTTGGGAAAGGGTTTTTCTGTGCAACAGCCCTGGATGTCCTGAAACACACTTTGTAGACCAGGCTGACCTTGAAATCACAGAAATCCTGCTTCTGCCTCCAGTGTGCTGGGATTAAAGGCTTGAAGATTTTTTATAATGATCTGAGGCTAAATAGATATCCAAGAATCACACTGATTCTTTTGGTTTTTGGTGTTTGAGACAGGGTCTTCTACATAGCTGGCTATGCTGGAACTCAGTGTGGAGACCAGGCTGGCCTCCAGCACAGGAAGATCCTCCTGCCATCAGTCCCCCAGTGCTGGGAGTCAGGGTGTGCCTCACTACACCTGGCTTAAGGATCACACTGTTAAACAGCATTTTGAAAAGGTTTCCTTGTACATATCCATTGAACTGGGTTACAAAGGACATTTCACACAAAAATATTTGTAGTTTGAGCAGTTGTCCATGATCCCTCCCTCCCTTCTGTTTCCTCTCCCTTCCCCATTCCAAGTCCCCTTTGCTCCACTAGACAGTTTGATGAAGCAACATTTATTTTGGGGTAAAATATTCCATACATTGTTGTTTTGTTTTTGTTTTTTGAGACAGGGTTTCTCTGTGTAGCTTTGGGTGTCCCGGAACTGGTTCTGTAGACCAGACTGGCCTTAAATTCAGAAATCTGCCTGCCTCTGCCTCCCAAGTGTTGAGATTAGAGACGTGTGCCACCACTGTCTGGCATATCTTTTCTTCTTACTTTGTTTCCTTGTGGTAGTGTTTTTATCATGTACCCTAGGCCAGTGGTTTTCAACCCGTGGGCCGCAACTCCTTTGGGATTCAAATGACCCTTCCACAGAGTTTGCCTAAGACCATCTTACTTATCAGACACTTCATTATGATTCATAACAGTTAACAAAATTACTGTTATGAAGTAGCAACAAAATAATTTTATGATTGGGTGTTGTTGGAGCCACTTGTTTCCCAAAATAATCACACAGAAACTATATTATTTAGTCACTTAAGCATAAATTTGGCCTACTCTTTTTTTTTTTTTTTTAGTTTTTCGAGACAGGGTTTCTCTGTAGCTTTGGTTCCTGTCCTGGAACTAGCTCTTGTAGACCAGGCTGGCCTCGAACTCACAGAGATCCGCCTGCCTCGGCGTGTGCCACCACCGCCCGGCTGGCCTACTCTTAAATCTTAAATTAACCCATTTCTATTAGTTTATGTTTTACCACAAGGTTTGTGGCCTACCCGCAAGGTTCCAACTCTCAGCTCACCTCTTTTCCCTCTGGCAGCTACATGTCATCTCTCGACTCTGCCTTCTTTCTCCAGCATTCAGTTTCGTTTTCCCACCTAGCTGTATTCTGCCCTATCACAGGTCAATGTAGATTCTTTATTCGTTAACCACTAAAAGCAATACATACTACATCAGTTGGGGTCAGCACAACATGAGGAATAGAACTGCATTAAAGGGGTCTCAACATTAGGAAGGTTGGGAACCATTGCCCTAGGCTCTCCTCAAATTTAGTGTGCTGTAATTACTGGTGTGTGCTGACCTGAACTGGCACACAATTCTTTAAGAAAATGTATTTCACTCCAGATAAAAATACTCTATTTCAAAAAAAAAAAAAACCAAAAAACAAAAAATAGGGCCAGGATCTTTGGGCGACATCAGTATTTGACTCAAACTTCAGTAAAGTGGAAATGTAGGATGGTTGTTATATCCGCCCTCTCTTTAGTGTTTAATAAAGTACTTAGTTAAAACCAAAAATATTTAGCTGGGTGGTAGATGTGCATGCCTTTAATCCCAGCACTCGGGAGGCAGAGGTCTTAAGTTTGGGACCACACTGGTGTACAATGTGAGTTCCAGGACAGCCAGGGTTGCACAGGGAAACCCTATATCTCCAAAACCAAACATGCCTACATCTGAATTAGCTACTGACTAGCTTGGAGACTTTGGAGAACTTAGCAAAAATGGTTTGCTTCTCATATGGTTATTTGAGTATTAATTCAATAAATGCATGTAAGTTGTATAGAGGAAGTGCTTGGGATGTGGAACACTCAAGTGCTAGTTCAGTACCAAATCACAGGGTCTTTGAAGTTTAGTAGATATTCAAGGCTGATTTGTGTTTTTTATGTTTGTCTTAAAGGGGACAATTCATCTCTTTCGAAAGCCGCAGAGATCTTTTCTTGGAAAGTTACTACAGGAATTTAGACTTGTAGCAGCTGACCGCAGGGTAAGTCCTTCTACCATGGTTTGAGTATTGCAGAGCCTTATGTGGAGGTCAGAGAACAGCTTGGGAATCACTTTTCTTTTGCTCCCATGTGAGTCCCAGGGATCAAACTCCAGTCCTCGGACTTGGCAACAATACCTTTACCCTTTGAGCCATCTTGCTGGCCCAGTAATTGACAGTTTCTAACCCAGATGTGTCTGTGTTAATCTATGTTACCAAAATCACCACGCATCCTCATTTCTCATCTTTCTTGACCTATTTGCCATAGTTGACAAGAATTGGTCACTTCTCCTTAAATACAGCATTATATAAGTTCCGAAAGTCTTGGGCTTTCTTCTTCCTGACATGTCCTTCATCTTTCAGTTGTTCTCATCCCTGTTCCTACTTCTGCACTTGGGAGTGTGAGCTCCCGCCTCTAAGATTTCACACATCTAGAAGTGCTTCTGCTGTCATAGTTGTCTTTACTCCCTGTGAATGGATGCCCGTATTTAAATCTCAAGCCCTAACCTCTCTCCCACCTCCTTCTTTATGGAACTTGAACTCTTCAATGTCCCGCTGGGTGGCTCACGGGCATTTCAGTCATGGCGTGGTCAAAACTGGACCTTCTTCCTTAGTCAGCTGCGTGTTAACTGGATAGTCTTGCAGATTAACTGTTAAAGCCAGAAAAGTTTTCATCATTTTCCTCCTTGTTTAGTCCCTCGCTCCTCACATGGGAGTTTCCAGCAAACGGGACAGCTCTGTCTTTCGTGTGGTGCTCAGAATCTGACCCCGCACAGCTTCTCACCAGTGTCGCGCTGTGGAGTAGCCAGAATGCTCTTTGGCTTTCTTTAGGGAGAGAGGGGTTGAGAGTCCCACCATGTAGCTTAGGCTAGCCTCAGACTTGCTGGAATCACAAGTGTACCCCAACATGCCTAGAAGAATGCTTTTTGGGGAACGTGAGACAAACGCATTTTTTGGCATTCAGGATGTCACGTGCTATCTCCTCAGACCCCTCTTGTGGTCTCAGATCCTGTTTTCTGTCATTGTGCTGCAAGGCCCTTCTGATGAGCCTGTCTGGAACAGACCCTCCCATTACTATTTCCTCAGCCCACTTCTTTTTAAACAGGTCTTCTCTGTGTAGCCTTGGCCATCCTGGAACTGCACTCTCTGGAGCAGGCTGGGCTTGAATGCACTGATCCGACTGCCGCTGCCTTTTTTATTTGCTTCCTAGCACCTACTACCATTAACCGAAATCCTTGTTTCTTGTCACTCTGCCCACATTGTAAGGCTGTGTTTTGGTCTCTGCAGTACTCATATGCCTGGCACAGATACTTGTAATAAATAGCTTGATTCAGAGAGTTATCTTTAATTTTTACTTGTTTGTTTGGTTTTGGTTTTCAAAACAGGGTTTCCCCGACTGTCCTGGTGCTCACTCGGTAGACCAGGCTGGCCTCAAACTCACGGAGATCCACCTGCTTCTGCCTCCTGTGTGCTGGGATTAAGGGCATGCGCCACCACCGCCCAGCTAAATTTTCCATTCTTGTTGGGTTGTTTCTGACAGGGTTTTGCTCTGTTGCCTAGTCCTCCTGGTAACTTGCCTGGTGATGATTTTGGAAGATGTAGAAAATGGAACATACTTTTTAGAAGAAGTTGGGTTTATTATGTGCTTTTTCTCAGTGTGAGTTCGGCAGCTTGAACAGATCTGTGAACTCTGTCAACACTGTGTGAATGGGCGTGCTTTTCCTTCCCGCAGTCCTGGAAGATCCTTCTCTTTGGTGCGGTCAACGTGCTGTGCACGGGCTTCCTGCTCATGTGGTGTAGCTCTACCAACAGCATAGGTATGTGACCCTTTCATCAGCTTCACTCTTGCTTCTGATTTTAAATAAAGGTGTATGTGCTGGCTAGTTTTATGTCAGCTTGACCCAAGCCGGAGTCATCTGAGAGGAAAATGGCTCCATGAGGCTGGTCTGTAGGCAGACCAGTAGAGGATTTTCTTAGTGTTGCCTGGAGGAGGGCGCAGCCCACTGTAGATGGTGTCACTCTGACTTGGTGCTCCTGGCTTCTGTAAGAAAGCAGTGTAATAGAATCATTTGGTCCATGCCTTTAATCCCAGCACTCTGGAGGCAGCGGCAGGTGGATCTCTGAGTTCGAGGCCAGCCTGGTCTACAGAGTGAATTGCAGGACAGCCAAGGCTGCATAGAGACACCTTATCTCTAAGGGGGAAAAAAGTCAAGTTTTAGGGGCTGGAGATGACTCAGTGATTGAGTGTACTGGTTGCTCTTCCAGAGGATCTGGGTTCAATTCCTAGTACCCATATGGCAACTAATAATGGTTAGTTAGTAATTTCATATCTAAAAAATCCAGTGTCCTTTTCTGAAGGACTGCAGGCACGTGTGTTGTATGTGTACATGCATGCAACGAAAACATCCACACAAATAAAATAAAAATAAGTAAATCTTAAAAAACAAAGCAAGAAAACAAGTTGAGCACACCATGATGAGCAAGGCAGAAAACAGCTCTCCTCCATAGCCTCTGCATCAGCTCCTGCCTCTAGGTTCCTGCCCTATATGTTTTCATGCCTTGGCTTCCCTCGGTGGACTGTGATTTTAGGATATGTAAACCAAATAAACCCTTTCCTTCCCAAGTTGCTTTTGATTATGTTATTTTATCACTGCAATGACAACCCTAAGACAGGGGACTGGAGAGATGGCTCAGAGTTTAAGAGCACTGGCTGCTCTTCCAGAGGACCCAGGTACAATTCCCAGCACCCACATGATAATTTATAATCATCTATGCTGAGATTCTGTCTTCTTCTGGCTTACAGGCAGAACACTCTATACATAATAAATAAATATTTTAAAAAATATAACCCTAAGGCAGTGTATTTTCCTTTATATAGGATGTGTTTTTCTTGAATGTGTGTAGCTCAAATGATTTAAAAATTTTAAATTTAGGCTGGGCGGTGGTGGCGCATGCCTTTAATCCCAGCACTTGGGAGGCAGAGGCAGGCAGATCTCTGTGAGTTCGAGACCAGCCTGGTCTACAAGAGCTAGTTCCAGGACAGACTCCAAAGCTACAGAGAAACCCTGTCTTGAAAAAAAACCAAAAAAAAAAAAATTTAAATTTAAAAATTTCTGGTTTGTTTACTTACTTTTAATTATTTATTTATTTGTTCATTTATTGTTTGTATGCTTTGGTGTTTTCTTGCAAGTGTATTTGAATGAAGGTGTCAGATCCCCTGGAACTGGACTTATAGACAGTTGTGAACTGCCGTAAGGGTGCTGGGAATTGAACTCAGATCCTTTGGAAGACCAGCCATTGCTCTTAGCCACTGAACCATCTCTCTCACCCTCAGTTGCTTGCTTTTTAAAACAAATATTATTAAATTGTCTTTGGAGCCTCTCCTGGAACTAGCTCTTGTAGACCAGGCTGGCCTCGAACTCACAGAGATCCACCTGCCTCTGCCTCCCAAGTGCTGGGATTAAAGGCATGTGCCACCACCACCCAGCAAGTTGATTTATTTTATTTGTGAAGTGGGAGACGTGTGGAGATCAGAGCGTGGGAATTGCTTCTCTCTGTTCACCATTCTGACCAGGGATCAAACCCAGGTGTGTCAAGCTTGGTGTAGCAAGGGCTTGGACCTGTTCAGCCATCTCGCTGGCCCTGCATAGATTTCTACAAGAATATATTTAAACATCCCTGTGAACAGTAGAGTTCAGTTATTTGATTGGACGTTACTTTTTCTTTCTTTAGGTTTGTTTGTTTAGTTTTTTAACTAGAATCTCATGTAGCCCGGGGTGGTCTTAGACTCACTACACAGCCAGCATTACCTTGAATGTCTGCCCCCTCCCTCTACTTCTCCAGAATTGGGGTTATAGGCATTTGCCATCATTCTTGATTTTATGCATGGATTGAACCCAGTGCCTTTTATGTTTCAGGCAAGTCCTTTATCTTCTGAGCCACATCCATAGCCTTGTTTTACATGACATTTTAAATGATCTATAATTTAGTTATTTTTCTTTTTTAGTTTATGTGCATGTCTGTGTGAGGATGTCGGATCTTGGAGTCACAGACAGTTACGAGCTGCCATGTGGGTGCTGGGAATTGAACTCTGGGTGAGCAGCCAGTGTGCTTACCCACTGAGCTCTCCATCCCCCATGATCTGTAATTTAAAACAAAAATACAAAACAAGAGAAAAATCTTCTGTTGGCAAACAGCCTCCATCAACAATCTTCCAAGCCAGTTGTGCCACACAGCTCCTTAGTGTGTTCTGTTGAAACTTTAACTTGTACAGTTTATAAGTAAGACGTTTAGAGCTTAGTAGTTATTCCATTAGAGAGAACGTCTGTCATTTTCTTCTTGCACCTTGACGTCTGAACAGTATGAGAGGATGTGAGTGCAGCCCAGTGACAGCGTGCCTGCCCAGCGTCTCTGCGCCAGGGCTCTGGGTTCAGTCTCCAACTCTGGAGAGAGGGAGAGACGGAGGAAGAGGGAGAGGAGAAAGGGGAGGAAAGAGGCTGCTCGATTTATGAATTTAATACATAAATCTGAAATAAGATAAGAACAAAAACTAGTAACCAGATGCCAGAAGCAGGCACAAGAATGCCCTTATTCAGCCTTTGGCAGCTTCATTTTTTCTGGTATAGGGTGTGACTTAAGTTTACACTGCTTTGACTGTATGTGTTAATCATATTTAGTATAAAATTGCAAATGTATAAAATTGATCAGGAACTCCAAATTCTTTTGATATTTTGTTATCTTAAAAATGGATTAGGAGAGATGGCTCAGTGGTTAAGAGCATTGCCTGCTCTTCCAAAGGTCCTGAGTTCAATTCCCAGCAACCACATGGTGGCTCACAACCATCTGTAATGGGGTCTGGTGCTCTCTTCTGGCCTGCAGACATACACACACAGACAGAATATTGTATACATAATAAATAATAAATATTTAAAAAAAAGATATAGGCCTTGAAAATGTTGCAGCCTTCAGACACAGTCACACTCTTGGAGGCTTTCTTTAAAAAAAAAAAAAATGGATTAGGAGCCGGGCGGTGGTGGCGCACGCCTTTAATCCCAGCACTCGGGAGGCAGAGGCAGGCGGATCTCTGGGAGTTCGAGGCCAGCCTGGTCTACAAGAGCTAGTTCCTGGATGAGCACCAAAGCTACAAAGAAACCATCTGTACCTGTGCTTCTAGGGGCTCAGCACCCACACCCACATCTGAGGTAGCAGTGATGAAAGTGGATTAAGTGCATGTTAACAAGGCTGTCTGTTGTTTTGCAGCTTTAACTGCTTATACTTACCTCACCATTTTTGATCTTTTTAGGTAAGTTTTTTAAATATCCTTTAAAATTTAAAGACAACAAACAAGAATTTATTACACTGATTTATTTACTAACCTATCTTTGCTTAAAGGAAAGTAACTAGCTAAATAAGTAGATTTATCATCGAAATGGACAACACAAATGACAGCACCCAGTGGTGTAACAAGAAATATTGCCCCTTCTAATAACAGAAAGTGAATTCCCAGGCATTAACTTAGGATGCACACATGCTGAAGATAACAGAAGCCGGGCGGTGGTGGCGCACGCCTCTAGTCCCTGCACTCGGGAGGCAGAGGCAGGCGGATCTCTGTGAGGTTGAGGCCAGCCTGGTCTACAGAGTGAGCTCCAGCACAGAGAAACCCTGTCTCAAAAACAACAACAGCAAAAAAAGAAAAAAAATCCAAAAACAAACATAAAAATTACAAATCATGTACTTAAAATCACACACACACATACACACACACACACACACACACACACACACACACAACCCTGGACACTGGCTTAGTAGTTAAGAGCCTGTATTGCGCTTCCAGAGGACCCAAGTTAGGTTCCCCTAGTACCATGTCAGGTGATTTACAATGGCCTGAACCAGTAGCTTCAGCAGGCTCTGGTGTCTTTGGTCACCTGTGCTCAAGTGCACACAAAAATACACATTAATTATAAGAAAACGTTAAAATCACACATTTCTCCCAAATTTAGTTACCCTTGACAAACTTAATGTTTCCAGTAGTCTCCCTTATCCATGGTTTTACCGACTGCAGTCTGAACATCTAAGTGGGGAATCCAGAAATAAGCTATTTCTTCACAGGCTTTGCCTTGCATGCTATTCTGAGCAGCGCGGTGAACTCTGGCACTGTCCTGACTCGCCCAGCCCAGGGCATGAATCATCTCTGTGTGCAGTTTGCACACACTGTAGACCTGCCCGTTAATCACTCAGTGTCTGTCTTCTGTTATCACGTAGTGCTCAGGTAGCCCTGACACAAGGACACAATGCTACATCCACTCCCTCCTGGCTAGTTTTAGGTCAGCTAATACAAGCTAGAGTCATTTGGGAAGTGGGGCTCTCAGTTAAGGAAATGCCTCAGCCAGGCATTGGTGACTCACGCCTTTAATCCCAGCAAAAGCAGATGGATCTCTGTGAGTCTGAGGTCAGCCTGGGCTACAGAGCAAGTTTCTGTTTCGAAAAACACAGAAAAAAAAAGAGAATACCTTTATAGGATTGCCTGTAGGCAAGTCTGTAACTTGTGATTGATGTGGGAGGGTTCCACATTGGTAGTGCCACCCGTGGGCAGGTGTTTTTGGGGTTTATAAGAAAGCAGACTGAGCAAGCTTAGACTATGAAGAACCATCCAGTAAGCAGCACCCCTCCATGGCCCCTGCATCAGTCCCGCCTCCAGGTTTCTCTGCCCTGCTTGAGTTCTGTCTTGACTTCCTTCAGGGATGGACTGTGACCCGAGAGCTCTGAGCTGAGATAAACCCTTTCCTCCCCAGAGTGTCTATGGCCATGGTGTCCTAACCACGCACAGTGCTTATGCCCTTTACCTGCCTCATCTCTCATGGACACTGTGGCAGCATGCACCGTAAGAAGGAGGGGGAGATGGCCCAGAGTCAGTAAGGAGCCTGCCACATAGATAAACTGTGGATTAAAGTTCTGTGTAGCTGACTTAGTGTGATACAATTTCGCCCAGTCTTCACTTTAAAACTGTTGTCATCCAGAGAAGCATGTGTTAGGAGGATCGATAAGGTTAACTAGGAATTATAATTTGTTATTAACCTACTATATATGAATAGTTCTCAACAACCAAGGGATTCTAAAGACTTAATTTGTTGGAAAACTAGAGAGAGGGTTCTGTGTTTGCTACTCTTGCTGTAGACCCAAGTAAGCTGCTAGCAGTCACGTCAAGTGGCTCACAGCCACTTGTGTCCTCAGCTCCAGAAGATCCAGCACCATCTTCTGGCCTCCACTGCACCTGCAGGCAAATGCGTGTGTGTGTGTGTGTGTGTGTGTGTGTGTGTGTGTGTGTGTGTGCGCGCGTGTGTGTGCGTGTGCGTGTGCCCATGTGCACATACAGAGTAAAATAAACCCTTATTGTAAACAACTACTTCATAGGCCAGCCTAGTCTACATAGGGAGTTTTAGGACAGACAGAGTTATACAGAGAAACCCTGTCTCAAAAAAACAAACAAAAGCCCCACTTCATTTGTCTATGCATGTCTTTCTGTCCGTCTTTCTAATGTTCTAATGCAAAGTTTGTTTTCCTTTAGTCTAATAACATGTTTGATAAGCTACTGGGTAATGATGAGGAAGCCTAGCCCTGTCTATTCATTTGGGTAAGTTCAGATCATTTTATTTTCTGCTAAGTTTTTGCTTAAAATAATAATTTTTGTTAAAATAATAATGGTAGAACGCTGGCTATAGTATTTCTGGAAAATAGAAATAAATGTCACCTGCTTAGTGACATAGTGATAAATAGTGAACGTACGTAAGAAATATTTTCTAGGAAGAGTCTAGAAATGACATATAATAAAATAAAAATATTTAAAATATTCATATTCAGTTTTTTTATATTTTATGAAAGGAAATACTAACAAATTCATCTCAGTAAACTCTTTAATATTTTTGAATGAATGATATTTTAGTCATAGACAGTATGAAGAATTTTAACAAGTGAATTTTATAAGTGCTATGATATATTTCAATATTTTGCATTGATGGAGATAGATTTCTGTTGTAAGACTTTGGATTTAGCAGTGAGCTAACAAAACTGTGAAGCTTCAGTTTCTATGGTTATGGGACTCACTGAGAATTGAAAGATGCGCTTTTTCTAATGGAGGGGGCTCTGACTGTGTTAGAAAGCATGAAGGCACTCTCGTAATGACTTGCGCTGGTTACTCTTATGTTGCAATGACAAAATACCCGCAAAACAACTTGGCAAAGGAAGGAGTTGTTCCGGCTCACTGTTTGAGAGTTCAGTTCCTGGTCTCTTGGCCATGCGAGGCCGAGCACAGCATCATGGATGCGGAGAGGACAGGAGAAGACAGCTGCTCCGTGGAGGACAGAGAGCAGAGCAAAGAGGCACACAGGAAGTGACCAGATCACAGGGCACGCAGCTCACTCTTTCCTCTAGCTAGTCCCCATCTCTTCCCTTTGCCTCCTCCCAGTTAGGACTCCCGTATTAGGACCGTCGAGGCACCAGTGCATTAATTACTTTAGAGCCCTTGCTTTCTAATTATTTCTGGAAACACCGTCACAGACTCACCCAAGTGTGCTTTGCTAGTCTTGTAGGTGTTCCTTTATTCAGTCAAGGTGAGCCAGTACAGTACTTAAGGTTTAATAGAAATCACATGGATAGTAATGTCCAGTACAGAATGGGTCAGTTAAGTGTTAGCTCTTATGATTGATAACGGTTGCTTCTACAAAAAATAATGGCCATAAATGGTTATAGAATCAGGTATGAAATAGATACTGCTGTTCCAGTGTTCATTGTTGCATTGTCTGTGGGAGCTTGTTTGCAGGTGCTATGTGGGTAGTATAGAAAGTCTGTGCCCTTGATTGAAGAACAGCTCTCTTGTGTGGGGGAAGATGGTCCTTTTCTGCATAGCTCTGGGAAGGACACACATGAGCAAGCAACCCTGACAGTCAGGAAGGTGGAGACGACACAACCAGATCATCTTTACCCACTGTGTCGATACACTCGTCTACAATTCCTGTCGTCCAGGAGCTGGCTACCAGTAGGCTGCTCATACATGTACTGAGCCAGTAAATATTTGAATGTATATATGTTCTAGGAAGACTGGTTTATTAACTGAGGGATTTTGACATTCAAACTAATTATCTGCTTTCAGGTTTGAAAGATTAGAAGTCCTGGCTGTGTTTGCGTCTACCGTCTTGGCACAGTTAGGAGCTCTCTTTATACTAAAAGAAAGGTACATTTTTGTATGTATTATGATCAGCCTCACCTGTGACAGTTGGAAATATGAGAGACTCCAGTGATGGTTTGAGTGACATGCAGATTGTAATGGACAGTGCTGGGGCTCCGATAGGACAACTTCTTCTTCCAGACCCCTTCTCTTATTTCGGACTCCTTCTTTTCCACCTCTAGTTTTTTCTTTGGTAGCACTAAATTCAGTCATGGGTTGGACTTCCTAAGTGGCCCATTGAAGTGGGCTTGGTAGAGGAATGTTGACATTGAACATTGAGCATAACCTACCTGCTAATCTCCTGGCACCATCTCCACTAAACGTACTAAGAGATTTGTATGAACTTTGGGGTGGGTTAACTATGTATTCATAATATGAAACTATGTGTTTAATGTGGATTTTTAGGTTTATAACTTACAGAACTTACTTGATATATTTTTATTTCTTTTAGTGCAGAACGTTTTTTGGAGCAGCCTGAGATACACACGTAAGCTGGATTGTTTATTTATTTATTTATTTATTTATTTATCAAAACCATGAGGATTAATCTCAGTCATGGGGCTTCATGTGTTTTACCACCAACGCACATCTCCAACAAAGACTTTTATTTGGGTGTAATTTACTGCTATTTCTAATCCCAGTTACTAGTTGCTCCATTATTCCTTTGTTCAGCGTCAGAGTTCACAGTATGGCTGTGTGTCTTATCACTTACATCTCAGGATGAGAACCTCCAAATCCCAACTCTCCCTTTCACCTTTAACAGTCCCCAGACCCTGGACTTTGTAATGGCACAGGAAGGATTTTGTAACTTCAGGCCTAGGTCAGCACACTAGACCAGCTCTCGTGAGTGTTCTGTCATTTAACACCTAACCCCCAGAACTTTCCGTGTGACCTTTAGAAAAGATTGCATTTTCTGCCCACTGCTCACCAACTCTGTGGGCTCTTACTAGTTAACTGAGGAACATCTGACTCGCCCAGCATGTTGGCCCGAGTTCCCTTAAGAGGCCCATCAGGTCCTGTGTAAGTGGAGCAGCAGCGGGCAAGGCGTAAGTTCTGTGGCTAGAAACAAGTTTGGATTCTGGTGTGCAGACCGTTACAGCCAACCCTCTCCCCGCCCTTTCCCCTATATTCCACATTCTGAAGTTACAGACTGGAATTACCTGTCAAAGAATTGAAGGTGAATGTTTTCTTCTTTTTAGGGGAAGATTATTAGTTGGTACTTTTGTGGCTCTTTCTTTCAACCTGTTCACGATGCTTTCTATTCGGAATAAGCCTTTTGCTTATGTCTCTGAAGGTATGTCTTTGTTTTAGTTTACTGTTTATTAGAAAATCTGTTGGGCTTCTTTTTGTTTGTTTGTTTTGTTTTGTTTTTCGAGACACGGTTTCTCTGTGTAGCCTTAGCTGTCCTGGAATTCACTCTGTAGACCAGGCTGGCCTCAAACTCACAGAGATCCGCCTGCCTCTGCCTCCCGAGTATTGGGATTAAATGCATTCGCCACCACTGCCCGTCCTTGTAGCTTTTTATTTATTTATTTATTTATTTATTTATTTATTTAAACTTTATTTAACTTTATTTCATGCACATTGGTATAATGATGTTAGATGAATTGGAGCTACAGACAGCTGTGAGCTGCCATGTGGGTGCTGGGAATTGAACCCTGGTCCTCTGGAGGACCAGTCAGTGCTCCTAACCACTGAGCCATCTCACCAGCCCCCCTTGTAGCTTTTTAAAAAATATATTCACTCTTTGTGGGGAGGGCTGCATGACATGACACGAAGGTCAGAGAACAACCAGGGGAATCAGTTCCTTCATTCCATCACGTGGGTCTCAAGGCTCACACTCAGGTCATCAGGCTGAGCCGTCTTGCCATCCCTCCCTAAAGCTACATTGAATGTACCAGCCATGTGTCAAGTCCTCTAATTCTTTCAACTGTGTGTGGAAGTTGAAATTGCTTTAGACTTAGTGTTTGGTCAAGACAAGGGAAGCAGCTGTAGCTGTGAAGAGAGGCATTGCCCTTTGTCATGTTACATGGACACTGCAAACTCGAACTTGTTTTTCTAGTAATGGTTTATTCTTCTATAGAGATAACTTAAGTATTTTCTCCTTAAAGCTGCTAGTACGAGCTGGCTTCAAGAGCATGTGGCAGACCTTAGTCGAAGGTAAGATGTTGTGGAACTTCCTGGCTTTCATGATTTAACAAGAATTCCCAGAGGTGTTTCTGTCACAGAAGCTTAGGTTTGCAGCTGAAATCAGCTGCATGAGCTGCTCTCAGTGCAGTTCTCATTCTCTCTAACCCATGGCGCAGAAGAATTCCCTGCAGTGGCAGATCTTTGTGCCTGGGTCCTCTTTGCACTGTAAGATGTAAAATCCACCTTATCTGTAACAATGTTCGTACTGATAGTGCATGAATTCTTCTAACGAATACTCTGTCTGGTCTTTCATAGTTTGTGTGGCATTATCCCAGGACTCAGCAGTATCTTCCTGCCCCGTATGAATCCATTTGTCCTGATTGACCTTGCTGGGGCGTTTGCTCTGTGTATAACATACATGCTGATTGAAATTAAGTGAGTATATTGTATTGCTATCAGGTGTGCTTTTGATTCCTGGGACCTGCTTTTTAAGGGCATTGACAAGGTGGATTTGGGGCTAGGCTTCTAGCAGTTTTGCTAATTCTCCGTGCAACTTGGTCAGGCCTTATCCTCAAGTGTTTCCATCTGAAAAAATAAGGGAAACAGGCGTCAGTATTCCTCACCACAGTTTATAACGAGAGCCAGAAAATGATTGAATTCCTCCTGCTGGCGTGACGGGCAAACGGCAGGAGGAGGGTTGTCTAGGCCAGAGCTGCTGTTGCAGCTGAGAGGGAGAAAGGCAGACAGGCCAGATGCAGCTTCAAAATAAAACTAAAGCCTTTTAAAAATAGACATTACAGCTGCCTTTAGATCAACATTTTACAGCTCAGTTTTCTGACTGACTGACCCTTTAGGCAGTGGTGTGTATTGTAATGGCTTCTTAGTTGTTATGATCTTTTTTATATATTTTCTAAAAAGTCACAGGCAATTACGTTTTTATACTTACGTTGAATTCCAAGGCGTTAGCTCCCTGACTCCTGGTCGTGTTTCCGCACCTGAGCATCCTGGCCCATCAGTGGACCCTCTTTCTGACATTTTCTGTGTGAGTCGGCTGTCAGCTGTCAACTCTCCCGGTGCAGTGCACAGTGCAGTACACACGTTCCTTTCTCTTCTAGTATTTGTTTGTTTGGGTGCCGGCATCTGGGTGCACGCCTCCTGCCTTGCTGAAGCCAGATCCCTCACATCTGCTGCATGCCCCAGACTCGCTAGCCCGTCGGCTTCTGGGGCTGCTCCTATCCCTGCCTCCCATCTCACTGTGGGAACTCTGGGATTACAGTGCAGATGCGGATCACCACATCCAGCTTGTTACATGAGCTTTAGTGAGCTGGCTCGGCATCAGGCCTGGGAGGCAAAGGCTAAAACTCACTGAGCCATCTCCTTAGTCTGATGTGCTGGGATTTTATTCTCCCTGTAAGCATTTTTATAACATATAGTTAAGTGCATTCACGTTTTTGTACAGTCACATTCCTCACTGAAATTCTATGTCATTCAAATAATACCTCCCTATTTTCCCTTCTCAGAATCCCTGGTAACCACCATTCTACACTCTGCTTCTCATTTTAACTACGAAATAAGTAAAATCATACAATCGTGTTTTTTTGTGGCTGGCCTATGTTTCATATAGCAGTGTTTTCACAGGTCATCCATGTTGGATATATCTGCATTTCCTTTCTTTTTGAGGCTGAATCCCACACTGTATTTATCCACTCATCTGCCAGTAACATTTGGATTGATCCCACCTTTTCTCTGCTGAGAATAATGGCACTGTGGACTGAGGTATACAGTCAGTATTTCAGTCCCTGCTTACAGTCACACTCAGTCTGTCTGTCTGTCTTTCTTTCTTTCTTTCTTTCTTTCTTTCTTTCTTTCTTTTTTTCCTTTTCTCTTTTTTTGGAAGCAGGGTTTCTCTGTGTAGCTTTGGAGCCTGTCCTGGAACTCGCTCTGTAGACCAGGCTGGCCTCAAACTCACAGAGATCCGCCTGCCTGATTAAAGATGTGCGCCACCACCGCCCAGCCAGTATTTTCTTAATGTGTTTTTGTCTCCTCTGCTATTTTGCCACTATTTAAAGCCATTGTCGTCATCACCGTCTTTGCTTCTGTTTCGTTCTCACCCATCTCTTTAGTCATTTTCCACGTTACTACTCATATCGTCATCGTCTCTTCCAATAACCGGCAGGATTTTCCACTTGCAGATCCCTGTGTTTGTAAAACTTTAAGGCTTTTAGCTTGGGCTCCTGTACAGTCAGCACCTGTCTGGACCGGTGTCTGTGTCTACATCATGATCTTCATCCCCTCGCCCACGTTGCTCTCACTTTTGGAATATCTCCTCCCATCATTTTGTTCATTTCTGAAAGCTCAATTCCTCATTTGTTTATTTAGTGTAAGGATATTTTGTCTGCATGCATGTCTTCACTATGTATGTGCCTAGTGCCCATAGAAGCCAGACAGGTTTTGGATGCCCTGGGAGTGGAATTGCAGACTGTTGTGAGTGTTGGGAATGGTCTCTGGGAAAGCCACAATTGCCTTTAACTGCTGAGCCGTCTCTCTAGCCCTCGCTTTTCTGAATTAGGCCCACCCTGGTAGCCTCATTGCTCACTCTGTGTCGGTAATGTCCTAGAGAGACTGGGGCTTGGTCATTGCTGTTACTTTGTTACTTTATTTATTGGGTTTTTACAATAAGGCCTCATGTAGCCCAGGGTGACCTGGGGCTTAGTACTTAGTACATAGCCAAGGCTGGCCATGTGTGGCTCCTGCTTTTACCTCCCTCATGCTGGTCTGTGCCATGACCAGTTTGAGACTTCTCTAACACACACAGTGCGACACTAGCTTTTACCTGTGTACTCTTGCTCGGCTACAGCAGAAACTGGGTCTTATTTCTGTTTCTATACCCCCCTCCCCATAAGGGGACTTAAATGTGTTCAGTTTTGTTGGGTTTTTTTGTTGTTGTTGTTGTTGTTTTGGTTTGATTTGGCTTTGGTTTTTCGAGACGGGGTTTCTCTGTAGCTTTGGAGCCTGTCCTGGAACTAGCTCTTGTAGACCAGGCTGGCCTCGAACTCACAGAGATCCCTGCTTCTGCCTCCTGAGTGCTGGAATTAAAGGCTGGGATTAAAGGCATGTGCCCTCACCTCCTTTAGAATTTGAAACATTGATGCAATATAATCCTTCAGCTATAATGTCACTGTTACAGATTCCTGGGAAACTGAAACTTTCTGTTTGCTTGTTTTGCTTTTTTTAATTCAAGGTTTCTCTGTGTAGCCCTGGCTGTCCTAGAACTTGCTCAGTAGACCAGGCTGCCCTTGAATTTAGAGTTCTGCCTGCCCCTCCCTTCTAATGGTTGAGATTCAAACTGTGGGTCACCACACCCAACTCAGTACTAAGTTTTTAACGCAAGAATTTCTGAGAGCAAAAAGGGTGGAATCACTGATGAAAGTCATTTATCCCTGAATCAGAAATTAGTGGTTGAAGTCTTTGTTTCAGGCCTGCGGTCTTTCTGGTGTGGGGTCCATCGAAGTGGAGAGCAAGGCTCGCTTAGCTCAGCGTCTCCCTGCACATTAATTGACGTTATTATTTTCCCACTAAACCTTGAGAGGCAGGGATTCTTAAAGCTGACTCTTTGGGGATTGTTTGGACTTATTTTTCCTCTTAGGTTCTTTCTTGACGGTAGTAGCTGTTGTGATTTTTTAAAAATTATTTTGTTTTTGATAATGACTGTTAGGTATCAATTGTAGGATGAACTATACATTTAAGATGCAGAGTTGTTTTTCCTTGCAGTAATTACTTTGCTGTAGACACCGCATCTGCAATAGCCATTGCCCTGATGACCTTCGGCACCATGTATCCCATGAGTGTGTACAGTGGGAAAGTCCTTCTCCAGGTGAGGCTCTTGTCGGCATCGTGTGTTCTCTTGCCAGGTAGAAACCTGGCATGTGTACTAGCAGATAAATATAAATATTTAAAATATTAAAGATTGAAGAGCTGTGTTAGCAGCAAAGTCAAACAGTAATTTCTGAAACTCGTTTAGCAGAAATTGGTTGGAATTTCACTGCCCTGTAATAGTTTAGGCTCACGTTCTTCTGTGTTCCTGTGGCATGCGATCATGAATTTACAATTATTTGCCTCTAATTGAATTTTAAAGGAAAGCAATATTATTGAGTATTTTTTAAATATATTTATTTATTTATTATGTATACAATATTCTGTCTGTGTGTATGCCTGCAGGCCAGAAGAGGGCACCAGACCCCATTACAGATGGTTGTGAGCCACCATGTGGTTGCTGGGAATTGAACTCAGGACCTTTGGAAGAGCAGGCAATGCTCTTAACCTCTGAGCCATTTCTCCAGCCCTATTGAGTATTTTTTAAGAGACTTAATTTCTTTGGATAAATAGGCTCTGGGTTTTATACATAGTTTAGTTACCCTTGGTTTTGTTTTGTTTTTCAAGACAGGGTTTCTCTAGGCCCTGACCATCCTGAACTTACTATGTAGACTATGCTGGCATTGAACTCAGATCCTCCTGCCTCTGCCTCCAAGTGGTGGGATTAAAGGCATGCGCCACCAGTGCCCAGCTACCATTGATTTTTTTTATTTCCCATCATTGGATGGTGTGCACCTGAGCATCTGTCTGTGTGTGCAGCTTGTGCAGGGAGGAGCCCTCGGATATCAGAAGAGAGCTCAGGTCCCCTGGAGCTAGAGTTACAGGCAATCAGGATCTTCCAGTTAGGGAACAAACTGGTCCTTTTGTTTGTTTGTGGTTTTCTGAGACAAGGTCTTCCTTCATTTCCCTAGCAGCCCTGGAACTCACTGTGGAGTCACAGAGATCCTCCAAAGGTGTGTCTCTCCACATACAGGAGTTGTGAGGGCTCTTAACTGCTGAGCCATCACTCAGCCCCTGGCTGGTTGGTTCCTTAAGTCTCATGGGATTCTAGAGAGAGCAGCTTCTTCATAAGAAAAAGAGTTTGGCATCCTCCTCTCTGGGAGCCTCCTACTCTCAGCAGTTTTTTTCCTTAATCTAAGTTTTCTCAAAAGCAAACAAAAAACCCACAAATGAGTGTGTGCCAATTAGTGATGTCACCCTACTGAGCCAGTGAGACCTCTTCTAAATCATAGTAGGACACATGTCAAAAATCAAAGGCTGGTGTGAAATCTGTTTATGGGTGTGAAGGGGGCTTCAGAATCATTATTGCAAAATTATTTTCTCCCTAGCTGTTCATGCTTTATTTTATTTTTCTAGACTACACCACCTCATGTTATTGGTCAGTTGGACAAGCTGATCAGAGAGGTAAGATGGAATAATAAAGAAGTCTTTTTTCTTGGTTTGTTTTTGGGTTTTTCTTTGGTTTCTTTTTGTAGCCCTGGAGCCTGTCCTGGAACTCGCTCTGTAGACCAGGCTGGCCTCAAACTCACAGAGGTCTGTTTGCCTGGGTGGGATTAAAGGTGTGCACCACCACCACCCAGCAAATAAGTCATTTTTTAAAAAGTTTATGTTAGGGAAGTTAAAGGGTGGGTATAATCTATTCAAGTCGAGAATTTTATTCGGGGGAGTTTGTGTTCACTAACAGTTGTAGCACAGGGATGGAAGTGAGCACTTGAGCAGCTGCTCAGTCTGGAAGCTAAGTTGACTGGTAGCACACGTGGAAGGGAGTGGGCTGAAGACACAAGGCAAAAGTCCATGTCTGCAAGATAATCCACCTGACTTCTTAGTTTGTAAGAAAGTTCCGCCTGCTAATGAAGAAGAAATATTGGTTAGGATGTTGACGCTGTTCTCAGTTCTTGGTTGTTAGTCCCAAAGGCCACTTTTCCAACACAGCTGGATGCATGTCCCAGCCTGAACCCTGGCCCTGCCTATGTCTTTGTTACCCCTGTCCCCTTGGCTGTATCTGGTGCTGGAATTTACTGACAGCCTACACTCAAATAGAGGTTTGTTAGAAGAGGAGCCAGGCAGAGACACAGCTAACATGGACATACACACCCTACAGAGGAAGGCAGGCACCACAAATGATTTTCACAAACCTATCTACCTTGTTCAAAAACAAAACCATAGCACGGTAAAGCCCAGAGCAGGCTGCACCTGGCTCAAGGAGTGGGGCAGCCTGGGTCAGGACTGAACAAACAGGCTTTAACTGAGACCTCTGATAGCTGATGTGTGTCCTTGCTCAGGGTTTAGCTGAGACCTCTGATAGCTGATGTGTGCCCTTGCTCAGGGTTTAGCTGAGACCTCTGATAGCTGATGTGTGCCCTTGCTCAGGGTTTAGCTGAGACCTCTGATAGCTGATGTGTGTCCTTGCTCAGGGTTTAACTGAGACCTCTGATAGCTGATGTGTGTCCTTGCTCAGGGTTTAACTGAGACCTCTGATAGCTGATGTGTGTCCTTGCTCAGGGTTTAGCTGAGACATTTCTAGGCTTTCAGCAAGTCTGTGATGCATACACTGCTATGTCTAATGTAGGTAACTGATACACTGCTCTGTGTTTTGATTAGGTATCTACCTTGGATGGCGTCTTAGAAGTCCGAAATGAACACTTTTGGACCCTTGGATTTGGCTCATTGGTATGCTTTCTGCAAGTTCGTTTAGTGTAATTTAAACATGGTTTTTAAACTTAAAAACTTACAGTTGAATTTCTTTAAAATTTTCATGGTGGGGGCTTCAGTGTTTAGAATACTTGCTCTTTTGGAGAACCTGAGTTATTGCCAGCACCCACATGGTAGGTCACAGCCTCTGTTAATTCCAATCCTGGGCAACCTCAGCAGGCACCAGACACACAAAGTGTATAAACATACATGCAGGGTCTGGAGAGATGGCTCAGTGGTTAAGAGCACTGCCTGTTCTTCCAAAGGTCCTGAGTTCAATTCCCAGTAACCACATGGTGACTCACAACCATCTATGGTGAAATCTGGTGCCCTCTTCTGGCCTGCAGGCATACGTTCAGTGAGAATGCTGTACACATAATAAATAAAATCTTTAAAAAAAAAAAACATACATGCAGGCAAAACACAAAAAAATAAAATAAATCTTTAAACCATTTTCACGGAAGCTTCGATTCTCTGTTCTATTTAATGGCATCTAAAATACTGACAGGTTCAGTTTCTTTATTGATATTAAAGGGTCTTTTTCTTCTTTTTTTAAATATTTATTTAGTTATTATGTATACAATATTCTGTCTGTGTGTATGCCTGCAGGCCAGAAGAGGGCACCAGACCTCATTACAGATGGTTGTGAACCACCATGTGGTTGCTGGGAATTGAACTCAGGACCTTTGGAAGAGCAGGCAATGCCCTTAACCTATGAGCCATCTCTCCAGCCCCTTCTTTCTTCTTTTTAATTTAACCTTGATACTACTGGAGGCTTTTTGTTGCTGTTGTTGTTGTTGTTGGAGCTGTGGAGAATTGAATCTGGGACCTCATGCTTCACAGTTTTCCCTCTTATTACTCTCCTAATACATATTTTTGTTTGTTTATTTATTTGATTTCTTTTGAGACAGCATCTCATTCTGCAGACTAGGCTGTTCTGGAGCCCCGTCTTGTATCCCAGGATTGCCTTGAGCTCACAAGACTTTTTTTCCCAGCCTTCTGAATACTGAGATTCTAGGCATGCACCGTCACATCTGGCTTACATGAACTTTTGTTTGTTTGTTCTTTTGTTGTTGCTCATTTGTTTGTCTTGAGACAGGGTCTCTCTGTGTAGCCCTGGCTGTCCTGGAACTCACTGTGTAAACCAGGCTGGCCTCGAACTCACAGAGATCCACCCGCCTCTGCTTTTCAAGTGCAGGGATTAAAGGCATGGCTTCTGTTGCTTGTCCTTTCTTCTTCTTCTTTTTAGATTTATTTATTTATTTATTTATTTATTTTATGTATATGAATGCCCTGTCTGCATGTATGATGTATGACTTTATGCCAGAAGAAGGCATCAGATCCCACTATAGATAGATAGTTGTGAGCCACCGTGAGGTTACTGGGAATTAAATTCAGGACCTCTGGAAGAGCAGCCAGTGCTCTTAACCACTGAACCTTGTCTCCAACCCCATAAACCCCCCCCCCCCCTTTTTCCCCCTTCAGTCCTGACCTGGAACTCAGTCTGTAGACCAGGCTGGCCTCAAACTCACAGAGATCTGGCTGTCTCTGCCTCCCGAGTGCTGGGATTAATGGCGTGCCACAGTGTCACCCAGCCCTGTTCCTTGTCTTTAAGCCTTCCAGCCCTCCTGAACTTTCAAATGAAGAGTGGCTTACTTAGGGCAGCATTTATAAACATGTGGGGATCTGATGAGGAAGAGATGTCTTTCCCTGACTGTTCCTGTTGGCCTAACTTCCCCAACACACTGTTTCTGCTGGGCTCAGTGTAGATTCTCTTCTTCCCAGTTCTTCTTCTTTTTTTTTAATATTTATTCATTTAGTTTTTGGATATGAGTGTTTCATCTTCACACACATCAGAAGAGGGAATCAGATCCTATCACAGATGGCTGTGAGCCACCATGTGATCCCTGGCACTGGCAATTGAACTCAGGACCTCTGGAAGAGCAGCCAGTGCCCGTAACCGCTAAGCCATCTCTCATCTCTCCAGCTCCCCCCCCCACACACACACACAGATCTTCTTAATGTGGGCCTTTGTCCTAGACAGGAGCTGTGTCTGGTTAGCTCTGTAAGCTCACCGGGCTCCATTGCAGACCCAGTGTGCTTGCCCGTCTCTGAAGTGTGCCAGAGCCCTCCGCTCTCAGCTGCTTTCTCCGGTTGCCTGTCTCGGATTTCCAGTCTCCAGCTATTGTTTAACTGCTTTGGGGTTTGTAGGTCGGTCAGTGTCTCTGCTTCCACTCTGCCACTAGGACACACCTGGGCTCCCCAGCATCTACTCTACTGGCTGTAGAATTTTATGTAAATATCCTCGAATGCCTTTGTCATCCCCGGTGCTCACTTAGATGAGTTTTCATTTGTCCTGTTTACGTAGGCTGTGATGAGCAGTTTTGAAATAATTTTTATATATACTCATGACTATTCTTTAAGATTTTTAGCTAGGGATGTGAGGGCAATCTGGCTGCGACATCTGTCACCCATTGATCGCCAGGGTTGATTCGGCTGATCTGGCTGGCTAGGCGGGTGTCCCCTTCCTCCCTCACCGCTCCATGTGCGTCCTTCCCGAAGCTGCGTGTTCGGTCGAAGAGGATGACCTTCCCCCAATAGAGGAGGACCGGTCTTCGGTCAAGGGTATATGGGTAGCTGCGCTCCCCTGCTAGAACCTCCAAACAAGCCCTCAAGATTTTTAGCTAGGCATAGTATCAGTATCACACACCTTTCGTTCCAGGACTCAGGAGGCATAGGCAGGTAGATCTCTGTGAGTTCAAAGCCAGCCTGGTCTTCATAGCAAGTTCCAGGACAAACCAAGACCTTGTCAAAAAAAAAAAAGGAAAAATTAGTTTTTAGAAGTGAGTTTTGTAAATTATGGAATAATCAAATTTTTACAGATTTTAATACAAATTATCAAATTGCCTTTCAGAATGGCTGTACCAACTAGCTATCTCTTATAGTGCATTTTCATGTGTGTAGGGGGGTTGTGGACAGGTGTGGAGAGGCCTGAGGTTGATGTCAGGTATCTTTCTTATTACCCCCTAACTAACATATTGAGGCAGGGTCTCTCAGTTGACGCTAGGCTGGTCTCAAACTCACAGAGATCCTCCTGCCTCTGCCTCTCAGTGCTAGACTAAAGGCGTGTGCCACCACCCCCAGCCGCTTCTTCTACTCTTTGAATTCCGTTTAGTTATCAGCTCTGGGTCAGAGGCATGTCTTCTCAGATCATCTGCACTGGAATAGAGTCCCAGCTTTTCTGCGTTTCCATGCTGTGCCTGGTTTATGCAGGGCCGGGGATCAAACTCGGGACCCTGTATGCATTCTGTCAGCTAAAGGGTCACAGATCATTTCAGTCACCATTTACGTTGATTAGTACCAGCAGTAAATAGCAAGATGCTATGTTTTTTCTTATTTAAAAAAAAAAATACCAAGTACCAGTCAAGTTATGAATAGACAGAATTCTCAGTATTTTAATTCTTTTTTTTTTTTTTTTTTGGTTTTTCGAGACAGGGTTTCTCTGTGGTTTTGGAGCCTGTCCTGGAACTAGCTCTTGTAGACCAGGCTGGTCTCGAACTCACAGAGATCCGCCTGCCTCTGCCTCCCGAGTGCTGGGATTAAAGGCGTGCGCCACCACCGCCCGGCTTCAGTATTTTAATTCTAAGCAGTCTTTTTTGATTTTTCCCTCTTTTAGGCTGGATCCGTCCATGTAAGAATCCGACGTGATGCAAACGAACAAATGGTTCTTGCTCATGTGACCAACAGGCTGTACACACTTGTGTCTACTCTGACGGTTCAGATTTTCAAGGATGATTGGGTGAGACCCGCCTTAATGTCTGGGCCCGCGGCCCCCAGCGTCCTTCACTTCTCAGCAGACCACCACATCATCCCGATGCCTCTGCTAAAGAGCACCGATGCTGTGACCCCGGTCACATCAACACCAGCCAAACCTAGCAGCCCGCCTCCGGAGTTTGCATTCAATACCCCTGGGAAAAACGTGAGCCCGGTGATTCTCCTGAACACACAGACAAGGCCGTATGGTTTGGGTCTCAATCGTGGACACACACCATACAGCAGTGTGCTCAGCCAAGGACTCACAGTTCCAGGATTTGGGGCAGGCCAGGGATTGAGGCCGACCTTCCCACATTTACCGAGTAGGTACGGAAACAACAGGACAGGACAGCCAAGACCTTGAAGGACTCTAACTTATTTTCATGGAGACTATCGACTCCTTGGCTTCCAGTGTACTTAATAACCCACCTTGCGTTGACTGTTCAACCATTTGTCAGATTATTGCAGGCTTGTTCATATTTCATGAAACCCATAAACTCTATTTTTGTACAATGTTCTTGTGGCAGTGAGGTCTTTGGAAATGTCCCGGGTGTTAGGTGGGCTCCCTTCAGAAAGCCCCTCTCTCTAAGCTTGCACGTTGGCTGTTCTTTTTTTTTATCTTTATTTTTTTTACTTTTTTTTAGTTGTTGAAAAAAAAAATTTCCGCCTCCTCCCCATTTCCCTCCCCCTCCTCTCCCACATTGCCCCCTCCCCCCCACTCCCCTCCCCCTCCCCCCACTCCATTCCTCCTCCCTCTCTACCTGGATAGAAGTGGGAGGACCTTGGACTTCCTGCAGGGCAGGGAATCTGGACGTTGGCTGTTCTGTAGCTGCCCACAGGGTGTGACCTGACCTGACCTGACCTGACCTCCAGTAGCAAGGCCATGTGCCCCTTCCTAAGAACACTTAGTCCCTCAAGTGCTCCGCGTGTCTGCCCATGGGAAATGAAAGCCTAAGTGTCCATTTGAAAAGTAAAAGTCTCTTTTATAGCTTTTCTAAGTTTAATTGGTACATTTTTGAGGTATTCCTGATCATTCCTTGCTAAATAAAAAGCAAAAGTTTTTATCAGAAATTGTGAGACATATTCTACTACATAGCACAATTTAACTCTTTTTAGTCTTCTGAAGCAGGGCCTTGCTGTATAGACCAGGCTGGCTTCAAACTCATAATCCTCCTGCCTCAGTCTTCCAAATGCTGGGATTGTAGGTTTTGAGCCACCATACAGGTATATTCTACATTTTAAAATAATGGGTTTTGAATAAAGTTTTTCCATTTACAAATGTAAGTACATTTGTAGATAGTCCACTCTTTTCGGTGTTTTATTTGGTTACAAATACCAAACCTTTGGTAAAATGGAATGAATTAAAAAACAAATTCCAGTTTTCTATGTTACATTTAGCCAATTGTCCATTGACTACAATAACTAGACTTTGGTTTTGAATGAGTAAGTTTATTAAGATTATAGCAAGTCAAGGTAAAAAAATAAATAAATAAACAGCAAGAAATAGGAAGATAGGTAGCAAGACATCATCAGTCGGGCGCCGGGAACATCCAACGGAAACCCACTGGGGAGCTCCTGTAAGGCGGCCAGCTGCAGTGCTGTGGAGTCTGGGCAGAGCAGAGTGTCCCTTCTTGGGAGGCTTCCAAGCGAAAGACAATTAGCGACAGAGATAAAATCATCTAGTAAGAGGCTACCGCACCCTGCAGAGGCACCTGGGAACTACAGTTCCTGACTGAGCTTCTCTCCCTCCTCTGGCACCTCTGTATCAGGGGCAAACAGCTAACCCCTCCTGGAAGTGGCTCACCTAGCTGTTCTCAGGGCGCCTGCTCTAACCTTGGGCTGCTTTGCTGTTCTCCCTCTGTCAGTCCGTCCCCAGATGGGGTGTCGGAGGACGCTTTGAGACTTGTTTGGGTCTGAAATGGGAGTGGGGCCACTACTCCACAGCACTTTCTTAGCTTAAACGAACACGTGGCAGTTTACTGATGCAATGTACGTTACATAAACACTAACAATAACGGAAGTTTTGTCTCATTTTAATAAACTAGCTTTAAAATGTTTCATTTTATGAACAAAACATCATATACATGTATATACATGCATACATACATATAGATAGATAGATAGATATAGTTTTGATTTGTTTTGTTTAGTTTTTTGAGACAGATTCTTTTTGTGTAGTCCTGGCTGTTCTGGAACTCACTTAGGCTGGCTTCAAGCTCACAGAGTTCCACCTGCCTCTGCCACCTAAGTGCTGGGATTAAAGGCGTGCACCACCACTGCCTGGCTTAAATATATATTTTTATTGTAAAATTGGATATTTTAGTCAAGATATTTTTAACAGACTTAATAACAGAACTGGACAAAAGACTTTTATCCCAATCTTGGCATTCTTATATATCAATAGTTTTGTAACCATTTCTCATTTGCACAGTTAGGGAGGGGAAAGAATTAGTTGATTTTTTAATGATTGGGTTTAAAATTTTATATAATTAAAAGTGCACAAGATGTGTCCAATTGCTAAATAGATATTATACCGAGAACTTTTTATTTAACAGTGAGCGTGACTTACAGACCAGCGCCCCGAGGTGCCATGGAGCAGAGAATGAACTACAGGCTAACATGGTTTTCGTGTTTCGTCCTCAATACCCCGAAACTGTTCTGTGTTTACATCTTTAGACAGATTTTTCTTTTTCTTTTTCCTTTGTGGGAAAGGGTTATTTTGGAAGGTGGTAGACAAAAGACTAGAACACGGTTTCCCCCATAGTTCTGTGGGGTACAGAGATTAGAGCAGGGGATCCCTCATAGTTCTGTGGGGTACAGAGATTAGAGCAGGGGATCCCTCATAGTTCTGTGGGGTACAGAGATTAGAGCAGGGGATCCCTCATAGTTCTGTGGGGTACAGAGATTAGAGCAGGGGATCCCTCATAGTTCTGTGGGGTACAGAGATTAGAGCAGGGGATCCCTCATAGTTCTGTGGGGTACAGAGATTAGAGCAGGGGATCCCTCATAGTTCTGTGGGGTACAGAGATTAGAGCAGGGGATCCCTCATAGTTCTGTGGGGTACAGAGATTAGAGCAGGGTATAAAAGAAAAGAATACAGTTTTCCTTCCCTCTTTAACTTCTGAGGACATAGTTGGAATTACATACAATGATCTCCTGGGAGACATCCTGAGTTTCAAGCCTCTGGCTGAGCTGCTTTTGTGTGTCTGTGCATGTGTATGCGTGTTTTCCAGACAGAGTTTCTCTATAACAGCTCTGGCTGTCTTAGAACTCACTCTGTAGACCAGGCTGCCCTCGAACTCAGATCTGCCTCCCGAGTGCTGGGATTAAAGTACGCCACCACCACCCAGTAGGTTGTGCTGCTTTTGAACTGCCAATTTTACTTGACCACAGATGTCCATTTGGGACTGGTGGATGGCTTAGCAGATAAAGACACTTATTACCACAAAGCCCAATGACTGGATGTCGAGGACCGGCCTCAACAAAAACATTTCTTACCAGGGTAGGGGCATGGGAATTGAAGAAATATAAGTAAAGATTATGAAGATGCATAAAAATAATAAGACAGAAAACATAGAAAGTATCAGGAGGGCATTCCAGTGACTGAAATCCTGAAATTTACCCGTGTTTATTTTTCTACAGTCTTTAAACCCAACCTAAACTGGGGGAGAAGGTAACAAAAGCCTTTATTAACATGATACAAAGGATACAAAAGGATAACTCACACAGTTAATGGCCTTATTACTCTGAAACATCAAATCATTAGCATTTTGTCATCTAGGTAGCTGACCATTTTGAAGACCGCCCTTTCCTAGGTGACCTCATAGTTACTGAGAAAGGAGCAGAAATACATTTGCATATCCTGACCAGCCCTCAGGATGGCACTGAGCTACCTTAATTTCAAAAGAGCCAGGAACCACCTCCTGACTGAGGAGGTGCAATTACGCCTGTCAGTCTCCAAACCCTCTGACCGGCAGACAGGGTGGAAATGGGCCTGCATTTTTTGTCCAATACAATTCCTCCCTTTTTATTAATTTTAACAAAGCCTGTGCTTTTGCAATAGGACAGATGATTGCGTCTGCCGGATCCTCTGTCCTCTGGACGGAAGGAGAAGAGGAGGGAGAAAACCGACTCCCACAAGCTGTGCTTTGACACCCCCTATGTACACCATGGCATACACACCACTGGTACATACAGATGAGTGTTTGTTTTACAGAACACGTGCCTTTCGAGTCTGGTAATGTCTCATGTGAGAAGGTACTCTGTTCACTCCACAGTGTTTTCAGTAAGCCAGGTAATTAAGTAGCACGTATGAAGCTTATTCTCTAGACAGTTTTGGCTTATTTATTAGTAATTTAGTTGTCACATATCCATCCAGGACTCGCTGAGTTCTGTATAGGCCAGGTACCGTACTGAGTACAGAGGAGCATAGTATATCAGGTTGTGACCCTGTATTCTTAGGGCCAAGTAACAGGAACGTGCACAGCAGGCGAAGGACATCCAGTTAGTCCTAAGTGCAGGTGAGGCCAAACCCCTCCCTCTTCTTTGCCATGTTGGATTTCCTTCTCTAAGATTCTTTTTAAGGATTTTTAAATTTTATTGTGTGTGTATGAGTGTTTCGCTTGCATGCTTATGTGTATCACTTGCCTGCCTGATACCCAGGGAGGTAGAAGACAGTGTTGGATCCCCTGGAGCTAGAGACAGATGGTTATGAGCTACCTTGTGAGTGTCGGGAATCAAAACTCAAGTCCTCTGGAAGAGCAGCCAGGGCTTATAACCACTGAGCGGTCTCCAGTCCCTTTCTCCAAGAATTTTTTTATCACCCACTAAAAGTGAAGGAGTCTCTGAGGTACTTGGTGGCTTTGGGTTCCTTTAATCAATTAATAGCTTAAAAGTGCCTTTAATGATACTGAGGTCATAGTCATCCAACTCCCACCCAGTGAGCCTAACTTCTTGCAGAACAGGTAACTTTGATAATACTTGACTAAGTTTTCTCACCAATGAAGCATCTGGTAAAAATTCTTCAGTACTAAAGTCAAAAAATACTAATTGTCTAAAGTTCTCAAATGCGTTCATGAAGGAAAGCCATCCATCACTGCTCACACGGTTTCCCGCTAAATCCAGCTGCTGCAGGTTTCTCAGAGGATTCATCTCCAGAAAGTCACCTGGGGGAAGAGGTAAGTATATTAATGGGAAGACATTAAATTAAATGAGCTCTGTACACACATAGGAAGCATTTTTCCATTTTAAAATGACCATGTTTAGACCAGAGTTGAACCCAGGGAAGAAAGAACTCCTACAGGCAGTCTGTGACGGATTCTGTTTCCCACGGTCTAATGTAGACGAGCCCAAAAAGTAGATAGAAGTGATGTGCGCGTTTTCCCTTAGTCTTGATTCCTCCTGGAAATGAACGTTGATTAAACATTGAGGTGTAAGAGATGCTATTAGATATTGAGGAGTTGTTTTTAAAATTAGAGGCCCCTCTGGGGAGTAGAAATGTGAGCAGCAGCAGCAACTTTCAGAAACTATAGTAAGAAGTTCCTCTGGGAAAGAGTACCTGTGTCCCTGCCAGCCCCCAGTACCATAACCTGTATGTAATACCCAACACCATCAACCACCTAGGCTGCACCTAGAGGAGTGGCCACTCGAGCCTTAGGCCCCTGCATCTGGAAGAGCCATCACCGGAGGCTCTACCCTGCCTGCACCTAGAAAAACAATCAACAGAGACACAGCCTCCAACTACACCAGTTGGAGAAACAGGGTCCTCCTGAAGCACAGATTCCACATGTACTGATTGGAGGAAGAGATGGGTAGACAACAGTGTAAGAATACACTCAGCAACACAAAGAGCAAATGACACCTCCAGAAATTAATGGTTCTACAGCAACAAGACCTGAACATCCCAATGCAGATGAAGTAGAAGAAAGCAACCTTAAAAATAATTTTATGAAAATGATTGAGGCCCTTACAGGGGAAATAAAAAACTCTCTTAAAGAAACAGAGGAAAATACAAACAAAAAATTGGAAGAAATCAACAAATACCTTAAAGAAAACCAAGAAAAAGAAATCAAACAGGTCCGGAGGCAACAGTTCAAGACTTAAAAACTGAAGAGAACACAAACCAAGGGTATTCTGGACATGGATAATCTGGGTAAATGAACAGGAACTATAGATGCAAGCATAAACAACAGAATACAAGAGATGGAAGAGAGAATCTCGGGAGTTGAAGATACAATAAAGGAAATAGATTCATCAGCCCAATAAATGTTAAATTCAACAAATTCTTAACAAAAAATATTCAGGAAGTCTGGAACACCATGAAATAATTGCACATAAGAATAATAGGAATTGAAGAAGTACAGCTCAAAGGCACAGAAAATATATCCAACAAAATCATAGGAAACTTTCTGAACCTAAAGAAGAACATGCCTGTGAAATACTAGAAGGTTTATGGAACACCAAATAGACTGGGCAAAAAAAAAAAAGTTCCCTTGCTCATATTAATCAAAACACTAAACATACAGGATGAAGAAAGAATATTAAAAGCTGCAAAAGAAAAAGGTCAAGTAACATATAAAGGTAGACCTATCAGAATTACACCTGATATCTCAATGGAAACAATGAAAGCCAGAAGGTCCTGGGCAGATGTGCTGCAGACACTAAGAGACCATGAATGCAAGCCCAGACTACTACACCCAGCAAAGCTTTCATTCACCATCGATGGAAAAAACAAGATATTCCATGAGAAAACCAGATTTAAACAATACCTATCCACAACTCCAGCCCTACAGAAAGTACTAGAAGGAAAATTCCAACCCAAGGAAGCTAACTGTACCCACAAAAGTACAAACAAAAGATAATCCTATAGCAGCAAATCCCAAAAAGGGAAACACACACACATAATACCACCAACAAAACAAAAATAACAGGAACAAGCAATTACTGCTCATTAATATTTCTTAATGTAAATGCACACAATTCACCTATAAAAAGGCACAGATTAACAGAATAGATATAAAAACAGAATCCATCCTTCTGCTGTATACAAGAAACACACCTCAGTTCCAAAGACAGACAGTATCTTAGAGTAAAGGGTTAGAAAAATGTTTTCCAATCAAATGGACCTAAGAAGCAAGCTGATGTAGTTATCCTAACATCTAACAAAATAGACTACAAACTAAAAGTAATCAAAAGAGATGAAGCACATTTAATATTCATCAGAGGAAAAAAATCTTTCAAGATATAGTTTCAATTCTGAACATCTATGCCTCAAAAAAGAGCAACCACACTTGTAAAAGAAACATCACTGAAGCTTAAATCACATATCAAGCCCCATACACTAATAGTGGGAGACTTCAACATTTCACTTTCCCCAATGGATAGGTCTACCAGACAGAAACTTAAAAGAGAAATAAGAGAACTAACAGATGTCATCATGATTCATATGGGCTTAACAGACATCTATAGAATATTCTACCCAAATACAAAAGAATATATCTTCTCAGCACCCCATGGAACTTTCTCTAAAATTGACCACATACTGGGTAACAAAGCAAACCTCAACAGATACAAAAAATTGGAATAACCCCTGTATCTTATCAGATCACCATGACTTAAAGTTAGAACTCAACAACAATTCTAATTGCAGAAAATTCATGGAAATTGAGCAATGCTCACCTGAATCACCAATGGGTCAAGGAAGAGATAAAGAAAGAAATTAAAGACCTCCTGGAATTCAATGAAAATGACAGCACATCATCCCCAAACCTCTGGGACACAAATGAAATTGGTGCCAAGAGGACAGTTCACAGCACTAGGAGCTCACATAAAGAAGCTGGAGAAATCCCACACTAGCAAATCAACAGAACAGAAAGAAGCAAACTTACCCAGGAGGAATAGACAGCTAGAAATAATCAAATTTAGGGGTGAAATCAATAAAATAGAAACAAAGAAAACAATACGAAAAATCAATGAGACAAAGAGTTGGTCCACAAACCTTTATCTTACTAACCAAAAGGCAGAGAGAAAATATCCAAAATAAGAAAACTGGAAATGGAAAGGGGGCATAACAACAGACACTGAGAAGATTTAGAGAATCATCAGATCATACTTCAAAAACCTGTACTCTACTAAATTGGAAAAATTAAAGAAAATTGACAATTTCCTGGATAAGTACCACATACCAAAGTTAAATGAAGACCAGATGACCAGATAAACAAATTAAATAGACCCATAACCCCTAAGGAAATAGAAACAGTCATCAAAGCCTCCCAACCAAAAAAGCCCAGGACCAGATAGTTTCAGCGCAGAATTCTATCAGAATTTCAAAGAACTAATACCAATACTCCTCAAATTGTTCCATACAACAGAAACAGAAGGAACACTTCCAAACTCTTTTTATGAGGCTACAGTTACACTGATACCCAAACCACACAAAGACACAACTAAGAAAGAGAATTACAGACCAATCCCCCTCATGAAGATTGATGCAAAAATACTCAGTAAAATACTGGCAAACCAAATCTAGGAACACATTAGAAAAATCATCCACCATGATCAAGTAGGCTTCATCCCAGAGATGCAGGGATGGTTCAACATATGAAAATTCATCAATATAATCCACTACATAAACAAACTGAAAGAAAAAAAACCACACAATGATCTTATTAGATGCTGAAAAAAGCCTTCAGCAAAATGCAAGACCCCTTTTCATGATTAAAGGTCTTGGAGAGCTCAGAGATACAAGGGACATTCCTAAACATAATAAAGGCAATATACAGTAAGCCAACAGCCACCATCAAACAAAATGGAGAGAAACTCAAAGCAATCCCACTAAAATCAGGAACAAGACAAGGTTGTCCACTCTCTTAATATCTATTCAATATAGTATTCAAAGTCCTAGCTAGAGCAATAAGACAACAAAAGGAGATCAAAATGGAAGGAAAGAAGTCAAACTCTTGCTATTGTGAATGATATAATCTTTTACATAAGTGATCCCAAAAATTCTACCAAGGTTCTCCTAAAGCTAACAAACACCTTCAGTAATATGGCGGGGTACAAAATTAACTAAAAAAAAAAAATCAGTAGCCCTCCTATATAAAAATGATAACTGAACTAAGAAAGAAATTAGAGAAACATTACCCTTCACAATAGCCACAGACAACATAAAATATCTTGAGGGTAACTCTAACCAAACAAGTGAAAGACCTGTATGACAAGAACTTTAAGTTTTTAAGAAATTGAAAAGGATATCAGAAACTGGAAAGCTCTCCCATGCTCTTGGATAGGTAGGACTAACATAGTAAAAAGGGCAATCTTTTTACCAAAAACAACCTACAGATTCAATGCAATTCTCATCAAAATCCCAACACAATTCTTCACAGACCTCAAAAGAACAGTACTCAACCCAGGATAGCCAAAACAATCTTCTACAATAAAGAGATTCACAGCTAAGTACTGAACACAGCTCCCAGAGTCCAGTCAAAAAGACAGGGGAGCGATAATATGAACAAAGGGATCAAGACTGTGAAGGAGAAACCCACAGAAACAGCTGACCCCAGCTAATGGGAGCTCACTGACTCTGGACTGACCACTGGGGCTCCTACATAGGACCAATCTAGGTCCCCTGAGTGCCGGTGACAGTGGGTGACTTGAGCAGTCAGTGGGGCCACTGGCAGTGGGACGGGAACTATCCTTAATGAACAGTCTGGCTTTTTAGAGCCTATTTCCTATGAAGAGATACCTTGCTCAGGCTAGATGTGGGCAGTGGGGGGGGGGGGGGAGGCTCAGTCCTGCTTCAAGGTCGTGATGATGACAGAATTCATTGACCTCCATGGGAAGCCTTGACTTCTCTGAGGAGCAGATTGGGGAGTGGGATATGGGGAAGGTGGGGTGAGCAGAAAGCATGGAGAGAGGGAACTAGGAATAGTATGTAAAAAAAATAAAATAGCATATATAAAAAAATTGGAATCAAGCAGGCAATATTAGATCTTTCCATATTTGTCCATATAAAGCTACTTAACAGCTTTATCTTTGGATATCACTACTTATAAACTTAAGTAAATGAGTTATTTGGTATCTAGAAATGACTTTTGAGGCCTTCCTAACCTCTTCAGGGAGATCCTCAATTCCCTAAAAACAGGACACCCTAAAGTGCCTCCTACATGAAAGGGGGGGTGTTCTGTCCTGATTCACAGGACACCACAGTCTCTTCAGTACTCATTCCTTGTTGGTCTATGCTCGGTACAACTGCACTGGACTCAGGTGAGTCCTACTGTGTGGAAAGAAATGTATGACTATACATGGTCACACACACCTCTGATGCCAGCAGAGAGGCAGAGACTGAAAAATCATGAATTCAAGGCCAGTTTAAAATACCTAGAGAAACCCTGTCAGAAATTTAAAAAGACAAGAGACAAAAGGAAGATGCTCCTTTTGTTTGTTTGTGGTGGTATTGTTTTGAAACAAGGTTTGGCTAAATATCCCAGGCCACCTTCAAACTCACTGCAATCCACCTGCCTCAGCCTCCAACAATGCCAGATTCGTAGGCTTGAATCAACACATTCAGCCTCATCCTGCATTGGTCATGGAGGGGTTTGTTAGACATTAAACTTGGAGTTGTGAGCCGGGCGGTGGTGGCGCACGCTTTAATCCCAGCACTCAGGAGGCAGAGGCGGGCAGATCTCTGTGAGTTTGATGAGCTAGTTCCAGGACAGGATCCAAAGCTACAGAGAGGCTTTGTCTCAAAAGAAACCAATAAATAAATAAATAAATAAATAAATAAATAAATAAATAAACTTGTGGTTGCTTGGGAGGTGCATGCTACAGTCTTGCAGGATGAGTGTTCAAGGTTCAGACTGGACTTTTTTTTCTTTTGTTTTTCTTCAAGAGAGAATTTCTATGTGCATCCCTGGAAGTCCTGGAATTCACTCTGCTGTAGATCATCCTGTCTCGATCTCAGAACTGTTTCTGCCTCCCAAGTATGGGATCAAAGGCATGGACCACCACCTTTGTACTAGTTGGACTTTGGACCTTTGGACTAGTTGGACTATTAAGTAGGAAGAGATGCTCCCTGGAAAAGACATTTTAAATGTCCCTCCGCAGTCTTTGCACAGAAGCCTATTGTCCCCAAAGACAAAACACCAGAGCTCTGCTTGTCACAAGTCTGTGATTCCAGAACTCAGGGAGCCTGAAGCAGAGGACTGCAAGTTTGGGTCAGCCTGGGCTACATAGTGCTAACCCCTGTCTCAAAAAAACAAAAAACCCAAGTCAAGCCATGGCAAAGGCTAGCAAACAAACAAGAAAAGCTGTTGCCATCAGTGATCAGGCCAGCAGATTAGGAATAATGCCTTGTGTAACCCGCCTGTGTAGACTGAGGCTCACCCAGGTACACACTGAGCGATTATAGCCACTGCCAGGACGCCTGCAGACCAGCTCCCCAGCACGGAGGTCTGTGAATTAATTGGCAGGTATCTTTGTGCGGCCTCTGTAGTTTGCTAAGGGAAAGCACGTGACTCAGCACCCAGTGCTTACTTCCGAGTGTCTTCTGTCAGTGTCACCCAGGACTTTTATCCCCTTTGCAAGTTTTAGTCTAGAAAGTTCCCTAGGTTCTTTATTACAAATGCCTGAAGTAAAAGTATCATTACCTAGCCGTAATGGAGAGAGAAGAGGAGGAAGTGAGGAAACCCAGGTGAGGAGGTGGCTCCCAGGCATCTGCCTTCTCTCAGATCTGTGCTACCGTCTACTGAGACCATCCTTCCGCCCCCATTTTCTACGCTTTAACCTCCATAGACGACAAACTGCTAATCCCACACCTCTTGTTAAATGTATCTAAATTTCTACCAAGGAAACAGAAGCAGAAATGAGGTGTGTCATTTCCAGGTCACTTTGAAAAGAAGTAGCCATCGGCTCTCACTTGTCTCCTCCCACGATGTTCCACATGCCCACGTGACAACAGCTATGACCTTGAAGTTAAAAATAAGGAATGAAAGACGGGCGGTGGTGGCGCACGCCTTTAATCCCAGCACTCAGGAGGCAGAGGCAGGCGGATCTCTGTGAGTTCGAGACCAGCCTGGTCTACAAGAGCTAGTTCCAGGACAGGCTCCAAAACCACAGAGAAACCCTGTCTCGAAAAACCAAAAAAAAAAAAAAATAAGGAATGAAGGAGTCAAAATAACAGCTGTCTGGGAAAGACTGTGCGGGATGCAGCTGCCCCATCTGCTTGGACTGCGCATTTGTGTGTTACAGGATGGGAAGGAAGTCAGCTTCAGGCTCCAGTCAGCCATGGTCCAGCCATGGCTGATCTTTAGTCTCTGCCCAGCTCACCAGGCACACCGGCCCTCGTCTCCCTTTCTAAGAGTGTTTCTCTCTCCGGGCCGTCAAAACTCTTCTTCCTATTTTTCACACCCCATTTGATTCCCAACATAGCAGGAACTCAAAATGTTTTTGTTTTTTCCAGGTTGTGGGCTTTCTCCCCAGGGAGCGACTTCTTTCCACTACCCATAGGGATGTAGAAAAGTCAAGCTGTTTCTGTGGCTCTCTGCTTCAGTTTGAGGATCTTAGCTGAGTTTCCTGGGTGATTATCAGAGTGTGTGCAAACACAGGAAGGAAAAACAAGCAGTAGTCTCCACGGTCTAAGGACATGCTTTCTGGTGACTGGATCGGGATCAAACTAGATCCAACAGGAAGAAAATCTGGGCATTTGGAGCTTGGCCATCTATAGGCTTAGGAGACTGCAAACTTCACGTGCCTTTCGCAGACATCTCTAACATCGCCCTTCAGTTCTCCTGAGCCCGTGTCAGGTCGCCTGGCGTTAGTTAACTGTCAGCTTGCCCAAATCAAGAATCACCTGCAGGATGGGCCTCTTGGCACGCCTGTGGGGGTTCTCTTGATTGCATTCATTGAGGCGGTGAGGCCTGCCCACTGTTGGTGCCACCATTCCCTGACTGGAGGAAGAAAACTGAACAGCCCAATGCATGCATTGATTCCTGTTCTCTGTCACCAATGGCGGACGCAATGTGACAGCTTCCTCAATTCCTGCTTCTCATTTCCCCACTATGCTAGGCTGGAACCTGGAACCTGGACCCGAAAATAGGCCCTAAGTAATACATGATGGCACTTGCCATGTATTCAACAAGCATTTATCTGCCGTGTACCATACACAGGGCATAGTCCTTGCGCTTTTTAGCTTACAACATAGTGTGAAGTCACCCACTAATAAGATGACAGGTAGGGTGCTGAGAGAGGGGACCTGAGACCCCCATACACAGAAGCAGCAGGCATTGCTCCTCCCCAGTCCCAGGACACTAGTAATTGGCCTTGTGTGCTCTAGGAGGAAGACTGGAAGGTTCTCAGTTGCCTCCAAAGCCACTTGCATGTCTGGTTTCCTGCCCCCTATAGTGAAGCCAAACAATCAAAAGTCATCTCCAGGGCTGGAGGGTTAGAATGGAGTTAAGGGCACTTACTGCTTCTGCAGAGGACCAGGATTTGGTTCCCAACTCCCACACCACCCATAAGTTCAATACCAGGGGATCCAACCCCCTCTTCTGGCTCCATGCATGGTTCACATATACATATGCAAGCAGTCATACACAAAGAATAATTTTTTTAAGTCATCTTCTCCCTTAGACACAAAGAGTCTTCTCTGCTTGTACCTCACTCTACAATATGAGAAGAGCCATCCGAGAGCAGACTCCAACAAAGAAGACTGAGTTTCAACTCAACACCCACAGAAAAGGGACCAACCATGGAAAGGGGTGTTATTACTGTTTTGTGTCACTGTGGTAGAATATCACAGGCTGGAAAACTTCACAACAAACAGACATGTATTGACTCATGGCCAAGGCTGAGGGACTAACACGTAGCAAGGCCTTCTCCTGTCTCTCCCTGTGGCGGAAGGATGAGGGGTGAAGAAAAGTAAGCACGAGCTCAGTCTCCCAGACTCAATCCCGTCTACACTTGCGTTTCTCATCCCGGAGGGTGGGCCATGAGCTGATTACATGTGAGTTCCCACCTCCCGGCGCTGTGCCATGGATCTTGTTTTATGCATGTGGTTTCAAGAGACACATTCAAACAATAGCAGGAGACAACACGGGAAAACAAGAAGGGGGAAAAGCCTTCAAAATAAAATTTTTCAGAGATTAATATTCAATAGAAATAAGATCCTAGTAAATAAGAAAGAGGGAGCTGGGTGGTGGTGATGCTTGTCTTTAATCCCAGCACTTGGGAGGCACAGGCAGGAGGATCTCTGAGCTCAAGGCCAGTCTAGTCTACAGAGTGAGTTCCAGGACAGCCAGGGCTCCACAGAAAAACCCTCTCTCAAAGAGGAGGGGGAGCTCTGTTTAAAGTCAGTCTTTGCTCTCTTGGCCCTGTTGGGATGGACCTACCTATACTTCTGACCTCTGCATCCCTGCATCTCCAGTCTTTGCTCTCTTGGCTCTGTTTGCACAGACCTACCTATACTTCTGATCTCTGTATCCCCGAGTCTCCAGTTTCTCAGTCCAAGCTTGAGGAGCCCTGGGACCACCTCCAGCTGCTTCAACAGGCTGGGCAGGGTGATGAGCACATCCGTACACCACGGCAGCATCAGTGTGGTTAGCTGTTCCAGAATGCTGAGCCTGCCAACTAGAAACAGAATGATTCGGGAATGACATCAACTTAAAATTTGCACAGGATGAGGATGAAGGAAGGATCTTTAAATCTGGTGACCCTGTAGGCTGCTTGATCTTTACTATGAATCTACATTTTCTTGATTATTTTTATAGAAAATATTCCAATATATAAACATTGTAGTAATCACAAAACTATTACTAATAATGCAACCTTCAAAAACAACAAATCATAGGGTAGACTGCTTAATCCCGACCAGACTCTTGTGTTTTTCTGAAGTGAATTCCAGATATATATCCCTTTGTCATAACCACGTGCCACTGTGGCACCTCAAACATCTTACTGTGCCCAAAGAGAGGAAATATAACCGCAAAGACCACCGGGGAGATACGGTTATTTAGGTAACTGGTAAAGCAGCTGCTTGCAGTTGTCTTGTTTTTTTTTTTTTAATATTTATTTATTTATTATGTATACAGTATTCTATCTGTGTGTATGCCTGCAGGCCAGAAGAGGGCACCAGACCTCATTACAGATGGTTGTGAGCCACCATGTGGTTGCTGGGAATTGAACTCAGGACCTTTGGAAGAGCAGGCAGTGCTCTTAACCACTGAGCCATCTCTCCAGCCCCCTGTCTTGTTTTATAAAAAGAAAAATGCCCAGGCCGGGCGATGGTGGCGCATGCCTTTAATCCCAGTACTCGGGAGGCAGAGGCAGGCGGTTCTCTGTGAGTTCGAGACCAGCCTGGTCTACAAGAGCTAGTTCCAGGACAGGCTCCAAAGCCACAGAGAAACCCTGTCTCCAAAAACCGAAAAAAAAAAAAAGAAAAAAAAAAGAAAAATGCCCTTACCCTCCATATACACCTCTCTCTCTTTTTTTAAAAAAATATTTATTTAAACCGGGCGGTGGTAGCGCACGCCTTTAATCCCAGCACTCGGGAGGCAGAAGCAGGTGGATCTCTGTGAGTTCGAGGCCAGCCTGGTCTACAAGAGCTAGTTCCAGGACAGGAACCAAAAGCTACGGAGAAACCCTGTCTTGAAAAAAATCAAAAAAAAATTTATTTATTTATTATGTATACAATATTCTGTCTGTGTGTATGCCTGAAGGCCAGAAGAGGGCACCACACCTCTTTACAGATGGTTGTGAACCACCATGTGGTTGCTGGGAATTGAACTCAGGACCTTTGGAAGAGCAGCCAATGCTCTTAGCCACTGAGCCATCTCTCCAGCCCCACACACCTCTCTCTTTTGAGACATATCCTTGACGGGCTTGGAACTCACTCTGTAGACCAGGCTGGCCTCAAGCTCACAGAGATCTGCTTGCTTATTCAAGTGCTGGGGTCAAAAGCACACACCACCATTCCTAGTGAATGTCGTTTTTACCTTTGCCATGTGGCCTTGATAGAAACTTAAGCCCACCCCAAAAAGCCTCTGTGTACTGTGAACTCCTCCAGTTAGTTGCTCAGAGTCATGAAGAGAAAGAAGTCTGTCACGATCAGCCTTTCCTGATCCTCCACTGACTGTCTGAGCATGGTGGTTTTCCTGCCTCGTTTTTCTGTAACATTATCAGAATAAAAATCCTGTTGGTACCAGCATTCAAGAGGCAGAGGCAAGCCAGGCAGTGGTGGCACACGCCTTTAAACCCAGCACTCGGGAGGCAGAAGTAGGCAGATCTCTGTGGGTTCAAGGCCAGCCTGGTCTACAGGAGCTAGTTCCAGAACAGGCTCCAAAACCAACATAGAGAAACCCTGTCTTGAAAAACCAAAAATTAAAAAAAAGAAAGAGAGGCAGATGGATCTCTGTGATTTCAAGGACACCCTGTCTACTTAACAAGTTGCAGGCTGCAGAGTAAAATCCCCTCTCTCAACACAAAACTCCAAATGTTTGCTCATCTGAGAACTCATGCACAGTCCTTTGCTACATCCAGACAGCATAAGAATATTGCAGTCCTTGGATGACTCAGTTGACACAATATGCATATAAACCAGTCTTATGAGCCTGGGGGTACAAAAAGCCATATCACTAAATCCTTAAGCAAATTTATCGTCAGCATCAAACACTAGCTTCCTTGTTGTTGGCAAACCTGAAGAGCCTCAGGTACAATGAAGATATTGAATCTGATGACTCAGAAGACAGAAGCTTGGGCTTGGAGAAATGGTCCAACAGTTAAGAGCATGCCCTACTCGCCAGGTGGTGTTGGCACACACTTTTAATCCCAGCAGAGGTAGGTGGCTCTCTGTGAGTTCAAGGCCAGCCTGGTCTCCAAGAGCTAGTTCCAGAACAGGTTCCAAAGCTACAGAGAAACCCTGTCTCAAAAAACCAAAAAAATAAAAAAAAAATGCACTACTCTTGTAGGAGAACTGAATTCCATTCCAGAGCCCAGGCCAAATGACTCATAATAGCTGTAACTCCCGCATCTAGGAGATGAAACGCTCTCTTCTGGCCTCTGCAGGCACCTACACTCATGTGTGCATACACCCTTCACACACACACACACACACACACACACACGCACACGCACACACACACACACACACACACACACCATGTTTTTCAGTTTTTTTGTGTATGAGTGTTTCACCTGCACTTACATATGTGTGCCCATCTGTACCTGGTACCCACATAACGCAGAAGGCGGCATCAGATTCCCTGGAACTAGAGTTACAAATGTTTGTGAGCCATAAGTTAGATGCTGGGAACCAAACTCAGGCTCTTTGCATAGCATCGAAGTGTTCCTAACCACTGAGCAACCTCTCCAGCCCCCAAATTAAGTAAAGCTTAAAAAAAAAGATGTGGGGCCATGTTCCTCAATGGCAGTTTAAGACAGCATTAGAGAAAGCAGTTAAGAAAACATTTTCCCTCAGGAAGATGAGTTAGCAGGGTGCGTGTGGGTCCCGAGGCCCAGCTTCAGGCTGTTCTTTCTGACCACCCAGCACGCATAGTCAAGAGCACATTGCTGGCAGAGCTGCCGTTCTTACTCAGTTCCTGTACAGCTTCATTTCCATCCTTTCCCAGATAGTTTTCTGATATATCGAGAACGTTCAGTTTGACCAAATTGTGAAGATTCTGTGCTGGAAGAAAAAAGATAACATTTCCAAGTAACCAAATATGCATTTTCCAATATCTTTAGGATTCTGTGTCCTTGTTGTTTTTGCTGATGGTTGTACGCACTGTTATTTGACTTGATTATTTCTCAAAGGAAGTAGGATGGGTGGACCCCTCGGTTCCTATGGCTTTGACTGAATGCACAGGTGTCTCCTAACCCTATATTTGGATTATTAAATCCACATCACATGGTGCCTAAAGTTGCATGGAATATAGAGTTAATAATTCTAGACACTACTTTGTAGTTTATTCTTTATTGAACTCGGTTTGTTTTGTTTAAGATAGGGTCTCACTAAGTAGCCTGGAATGGTCTCAAACTCTCAAACTTACAGAAATCCCCCTGCCTCTGGCATCTGAGTGCTGGGACTGAAGGTGTTCGTTACCACACCTGGACACGTCTCACATATTCTTAAAGGGATAAACTGTCTCACATGGCTTTTAAAGGGGCACAAGTTTCAGCCTTCAGCTGTTCTCCGTCTCAAACAACTCAATGGTTCTTGATTGGTTTCTCACACAGCTTTAGGGTCAGGGTCTCCTAGGTCACAGGCCCTGGTGGGCTGTGACAGGTAGTGGTAGGCACGAGGGATCTGAAGAACAAGATACCATTACTAAAACGGTACTTTGTATCACAGCAAAAAAGGTTTTACTACAACAAATTAAAGGTCAATTTCTATTTAAAAAGCAGGTGACGTTTTGATCAATATTTATATTTTCTCTTCTCCCTTATAGTTTATTGGTGAAAGTGGAGACATGAAGGCATATTCTAATCATTTTATGTTCCCAGTATCAGTCTAGATTTTCCAACCATTGGCTTCTTCAGCTGTAAGTTTATATCAGTGTAAACATGGCAGTCTTTAGAGATTCCCAGCACTATTATACTCTTATTTTTTGATTTTATTCGTAAGTGTGTGTGTGTGTTTGTTTCTATGTGAGGGGATATGCAAAGGGGTGCAGTTGCCACAGAGGCCAGAAGGTGGCACCAAATCCCTTGAAGCTGGAGTCTCAGACCTGTGTGAGTTGCCAAAAGTGGGTGCTGAGAACCACTCAGGTCTGATGGAAGAGCCAAAAACTCTCCTGGTCTCCAAGTCATCTCTAGCCCCCATAGGATGACTTCCAGAGGGACACACTTTTCACCCAGCATTCACGAGGCAAGACTGATCTACACAGCAAGTTCCAGGCTAACCAGAGATATATAGTGAGACAGATAAATAATATTAAATCAATTTTCAAAAACGAAATCTTTAAGCCAGGCAGTGGTGGCGCACGCCTTTAATCCCAGCACTCGGGAGGCAGAGGCAGGCGGATCTCTGTGAGTTCGAGGCCAGCCTGGTCTACAAGAGCTAGTTCCAGGACAGGAAACAAAAAGCTATAGAGAAACCCTGTCTCAAAAATCAAAAAAAAAAAAAAACTAAACTAAATCTTTAAAAAGGACTTCCTGTATGGGTGTCCTGCCTGCATGCATGGCTGGGTACCACGTGTGTGCCAGAAGAGGGTACTGAATCCCCGAGACCTAATACAGATGGCGGTAAGCTGCCGTGTGCGTGCCAGGAATGGAACCCAAGTCTTTTGGAAGAACAGTCAGTGATCTTAACTGCTGATCCATGTCTGCAGCCCCAAACTCTCAATTTTAAGACATGTCTGAATTGAAGAGTTTATTGAAAAATATGCAAAGTTTTCTCTGTAATTGGTATGCATGATATTTGGGAAATCAAAAGACTGAAGTAGGTGGTGTATCACTGTATTCTAAGTCCATCTTAACAGAGCAAAGGGAAGACTAGGAAGCATCTAACATGGAGGCAATCCTCTTTCCCCATCATTATATATGATAATACACTATTATCACGACACTATAGCACTATGACAAAAATGGTGGAAATTGGGGTGAGAGATGTTTTTAGATGGGGAATTTTTAAAAAATTACTTATAACTTTTTCTTAAGGTTATAATATCTTCAACTATTCTGCAGTCCTCTCTTATTGCCATTAATAATTTTTTTTAAATATTTATTTATTTATTATGTATACAATATTCTGTCTGTGTGTATGTCTGTAGGCCAGAAGAGGGCACCAGACCTCATTACAGATGGTTGTGAGCCACCATGTGGTTGCTGGGAATTGAACTCAGGACCTTTGGAAGAGCAGACAATGCTCTTAACCACTGAGCCATCTCTCCAGCCCTGCCATTAATAATTTTAATTCTGAGTTGGACAAAGCGTCCGTGTTCTGCTGTGCGTCCAGAGGGACGCAAGGGTTCCCCTGATTACCTAGGGTTTTCACAGAATTCGCCGTCAGACAGCAGGCCACCAACTTCATCTCTTGCAGGTCACAGGGTTCTCCCGACAGAGACTCAATTATGAAATCCATCCCCTCCCCGATATCAGACAAATGAGTCAGATGAAATAAGCTCATCTTCTTCAGGTTTCCCAGGCCTTTGGCTACGAGAAAAAGGGAAAGAAATATATGAGCAGACCACGTTTATCTGGTTAAACCCAGATTCGTGGACCAGAAGGATGACAACTAGGAAGAAACAGTTTCGTCTTCTTTTTCTTTCTTTATTTACTATATGTCCACTGTTCTGCCTGTACACCAGATCTCATTACAAGTAGTTGTGAGCCACCATGTGGGTGCTGGGAACTAAACTCAGGGGACATCTGGAAGAGCAGCTGGTGATCTTAACCTCTGAGCCACCTCTCGGGCCCTCAGTTTCATGTTCTTTTAAAAAATATGTATGCATTTCTTTGTTTTCTACATAGTGAGAGTCTTGCTATTTAGCCCGGCTGGCTCAGGAGCTTCCTGCCGAGGCTGCCCCACTGCTAGATTCCAGACATGCTCTTTCTTCCTGGTCTTTACTTCCCTCAAGAGGCTGAGTTCAGAGGGGCAGCAGGTGCTACAGCCACGTGGAGGGCTAATGCCACTGCCTGGCCCTGGACTGTGACATGGGACAGACTGACTCCCTCCAGTGAACACTACATCCGGAGCAGTATGTTCAGCCAGGGTCAGTGGACGCTTCTACCCACAGTACAGTTGAAAGCGGTCTAGAGTGCCCCTCATTCTTAGGCCTGGCATTGATGTGGCTTTCAGGATTGATTAGATGGAACTTAAATCATCAATACATATCCTAAGTCAATGGTACACATGAAAGAAATACATGGTGACTTTTGGATCCTAGCTGTCTCCCTCTCCACTTTTCCTTTGGTATTGGAGTTTTTACCCAGGCCCTGTGCATGCCAGGCAAGTGCTCTACCATTGAGGTGCATCCCTCAGACCAAGGTTTTCTCAATCCCCATGGTTAGGAGCTTAGGGGAGATAATGTATTGAAGCACGAATTATAGTTGTTTTTAATACTAAAAACCCAGAGTCAGATATAGGGGTTAATGCTGAAGATCAGAGAAGCAGAGTGTCAGGCACTAGAGAGACCTTTTACCTCTACCAATGCTCAGACTGAAGGGGCGATCATGTCCTCTGACTGCATACAGATACATCTGACTGTATCTGTCTCCTCCAAACCTCCAGCTGCTTCTGTCCACACCAAACCTCAGACTACCCTATGTTCCTGTCTCCTGTCTAACAGTCCTTTCTCCACCCTATCACTCCCGTCTCCACCTTCCTAGTGCTGGGATTAAAGGCATGGGATCCCAAGTGCAAGGATAACCTTTGTGTGAATTCTGTTTCTCTTTTAGAGATTCAATCTTGTATAGCCCAGTTAGCCTTGAACTAACAGAGATCCGTCTGCCTCTGTCTCCTTAGTTCTGGAATTAAAGGTATGTGCCAGCACTCCCTGGCCTCTAGTGGCTAAGCTCTGCACTCCGACCTTTGGGCAAGCTTTATTTGTAAGAACGTAAACAAAATATCACTACAATGTATGTGATTCAATCAGTAGTATAGTGGCATATTATTTGTGTTTTAATAAATAAAGCTTGCCTGAAGATCAGTACAAAGCAGCCACACTTGTCAGCCATATAGGCCAGGCAGTGGTGGCATGCACCTTTAATACCAGAAGCCACACTAGTTAGCCATAGAGGCCAGGTGATGGTGGTTCATGCTTTTAATTCCAGCACTAGGGAGAAATATAAGGCAGAATGAGACAGGAACTCATTCTTTTTTAGTCTGAAGATTTCACTTAGGTAAGAGCTCTCTAGTGACTTGGCTGCTTTGCTTTTCTGATATTCAGGTTAAACCCCAATATTTATCTCTGAACTTTTATTATCTGAGCTATAGCTGGTACCCAACATTTGGGATACAAATTCATGAAAAAGCTGTTTGCCTGTGACTTTCTAGCCACCAGCACAGGCCAGAGCTCCACATGGGGCTCCAGTTCCATCCGGCTAGGTTTTTTTTTTTTTTCTTTTTCTCCTCAAGTATGTGAGTAGGTTTGGCATTTTCCTGTTGTAGCCTCTCTGAAAGTCTCCAGCTGCCACCCAAACTGCAGAAGCACCTGGGTTCCAAAAGCCACATCACTCACCTCCCTCGACTGACTGGTTCTGCCTTCAGGGACCTCTGCAGCCTCCCTACCCCTCCACCTCCCCACCCCGCAACCACCACGTGTGCTTTTTCTGATCTCTCTCTCTCTCTCTCTCTCTCTCTCTCTCTCTCTCTCTCCACCATAGGTTGCAGGCTCTCCCTGAACTTCCTTCTAGTGCTGCTGCCAAACTAGGCAGCTGCCTTGGAATCCAGTCAGGCTTTCACTGTTCTACGCAGCAGCAATCAGCCCCACATCTTCATCAACATCATCAGTAGATTTGGTAAGACAACTGGGAATTCTTAGAAGAATTAGTTAAAAGAGAGTTTTTCCCCCACATTAAAAATGAGAAAAAAAAAACCATTACAATAGAGGGATTTGGGTCCCTGAATGATAATATGCTAGACAGTTTGAAATGGGACAATTTAATAGGACGATATCTAATTTAGATGGAATTGATGTAATGTTAATTGTAAACATCAGCTTTATCACTTCTGTCTTATCACTAAAAAAGTTGGTTACTCTGAATGCTAAGATACAGGGGCTTAGAAAAACTTAATAAAATAGATCACAGAGATAGTCAAATTTAATGGAGGAATTTAATGGAGAACCAATTTCAGCATTGCTTTATAAGACTATTCTTATAGTATCTATAGAGGAACAGCCTAAGGTTTTCTTTCTTTTTTTTTAAGGTTGTAGCTCAAATTCTAATTGGTCTTTTTTTAAAGGTTTATTTAACTTTTTATTTTATGTACATTGATGTGAAGGTGTCAGTTCCCCTTCAACTGGATCTTTAGACAGTTGTGAGCTGCCATGTTGGTGCTGGGAATTGAACCCGGGTCCTCTGGAAGAGCAGTCAGTGCTCTTAACCACTGAGCCATCTCTCCAGCCCCCTAGCCAAAGGTTTTCAAACAACCAGTCTTAATATATGCAGTAACCATACAGGAATTGCCACGTGATTGAGTAAAGAGCTGAATGGACTCCTGTGTCAATATTAGATTTAAGGAGATTCAAAGAAGCAATAATCTCATATGGCATGCATTCACCTTTTGTGAGACAAATGTTAAATTCATGGTCAGTTTGCAATAAGAATTATCCCTAGAAACTGGATAGAATTGGTTAAAGGTGTTTTAGAGCCTAGTCCACAATTACAATGGAGTTCAGAGAAGAGGTATTGAACAACTAGAGGTAGGGAAATCTCCCAATCAAATTCTTAGAAAAGGAAATTATGCTATGATAGAAAGGAAATCTGTACATAATGGTCACATCCTGGCTTTATGTCATGCAGCAGCTTTGAATGCTAGGGACAGAACTGAAGAAGTAGGGAAGAAGACGGAATCATTTACTGAAGTCATACAGGGCCCAAAAGAAACCTTCACGGATTTCTTACAAAGATTGACATCAGCAGTAAACAGAATGATACCAAATTCAGAAGTCAGAAAATAATAATTAAATCTCAGGCTTTTGAAAGGGTGAATTCTCTATTCAAATGGATAATTAGGCCATTGAAGGCAAGGTTAGCACTTTTGGAGGAATAGATTGAGATACAATTAACGTTGAATCTCATACCGTGGTGATGCGTGGATAGGAGAGGTGATTTCCAGAGGTTTGAAGAAAAATTGAAACATCAAATGTTATAATTCTGGCAAGCAAGGTCAACTTAAAAGGGACTGTAGACAGGGCTTTCCTAAAAACAACTTTTTTTTCTAAGAATAATTTGTTCAGAATGTTCCTCCCTTCTGGATTATGCTATTTTCATGGTACTAAGGAATTTTAAAGAACCTCTCCACAGTTACCAATTTGAAATATGCAAAAAGAGTTGTTTTGCATATTGAAACTGCTGGGTTTATACCAGATGATACAGAATTTACTTTATTATTTATTCAGATATAAGATATAATCAGGAATAGGCATTATTCCATATTCATAACACACATCTGATTCCACATGGGTCTGCCAGGTTCTCTAGCACAAGGTAATGCAGAAATCAATCAATTATTGATTGAAAATGTGCTGGAGGCCTCAGAATTTCATAAAAATATCATGTCAATAGCAAAGATTTAAAAAGATTTTTCATCCTGTGGCAACAAACCGAGGAAATTATGAAGAAATGTCCTACTTGTTCTTTCCACAACTAAGCACTACAATCTGCAAGAAGTAACCCAAAGGGTACTCAAAGGAATGAAATATGACAGATGGATATGTTCCATTTTGTAGAATTTGGAAAACTGAAATATGTAAATAACATCATTGATACCTATTCAGGTTTTTAATGGGAAACTGCCTTGAATTTGGAAAAGGCTGACTGGGGAATCACACATTTGCTAGAAGTTATGGCCACCATGGTTATACCTGTACAAATAAAGACAGACAATGCTCCAGTATGTCTCTAAGAAAATAAAAAAGCTTTTTGGTTATTAAAATATAAGGCATATTTCAGGTATACCACAAAATCTTATAGGGCAGGCAGTTATAGAAAGATCAAATCAAACTCTAAAAGATATATTAATTAAACAGGAAGAGATGATAAATACCCCCAGTAATAGATTGCATAATGCTTTACTAACTCTGAATTTTCTAAATGCTAATGAGAAAGGAACAACAGCTGTGGAGAGACAGTGGATAGTAGAAAAAATTATAGAATTAAATCAGCCAATATACATTAAAGATGTACTGACCTCAGAATGGAAACCAGGACATATGTTACATTGAGGAAGAGGTTTTGCTTTTGTTTCCACAGAAGAAAAGGTATGGATACCATCAAAATTGATAAAGATTCAATTTGAACAAGAGACACCTCCTAATTAGAAGAGATGATAGTTCATTAAGCATCATGGCCTTTTAATCTGAAGTAACCTATAAAACTAACAAATGCTTTTTATGTTATCAGATATATCTTGCCAATAGAGAATTTCCCCAAAGTTAGGGTTGGAAAGGGTCAGAAAAGGATTACAGATACACAATAAAGACAAATTCAGATGGAAAAAGCCTCTAAATGGGTCACAGTTTAGATAAACATACAAAGGCTTAGGAGAGAGAAGAAAAAGAACATAGACAGATATCAAAAGAAGTAAATGTTTTTTTTTTAAATGGTAAAGTCTTTAAAGAGACACAATACAGACAGTCATAGATTAAAAGGAATAAAGAAAAATAAGCCACATAAAGATGGAATACACACAGAGAGCCTGGATTATGTATATTGTTGTGTTTTCTATGAATTTTTTTTACTATGAAGGAGCTGAGTACAGAGAGGCATTTCATTGTATGGGCTGCTAAGCTAAACCAACCTATATATTTTGAAGGTATCTTGATTCCAAAATTTGGGTTTAAGGATATGTTGTTTTAAGCCAGACAGTGGTGACACACAGCTTTAATCCCAGCACTTGGGAGGCAGAGGCAGGCAGTTCTCCGTGAGTTCAAGGCCAGCCTTATCTACAAGAGCTAGTTCCAGGGCAGGCTCTAAAACTACAGTGAAACCCTGTCTTGAAAAAAAAAAGCCAAAAAAAAATTAGAAAGGATATGTTGCTTTGGAAAAGAGGTTCTTCTTTTCTTTCCAGAGGATGAAAAACTGTGGAATCCTTCCAGATTAATGTGGTTTGATGGACCAAGACCCCTCGAAAGGTCACTGTGAACACCCCCAAAAATTACTTTGCCCAACAAAATGTATGAAGCAGTTTGGAAAGAATTATGCCTAAATTCCCTAAATGATTGTTTATAAACATTTGTTTACATTTAAAGGGAGATATGATATAGAGATTTGCATTGGCATGGTTCTTGGTTTGTTGATACAAATTTAAGATCAATTTTCTTATATATATATATATATATATATATATATATATATATATATATATTTTCTGCTCTTGATTAAGGTATTGTGTTTGTGCAGCTAATTTAAAAATGCAATGTATAATTAAGAAATATAGGTCAATAGTCATCTATAATAGTCAAGTTTGTAGTCATGATCGGTATATATAGAGATAGATAGATAGATAGATAGATATAGATATATAGGGATATATTTCAGTTAGATAGGTATTCTTCAAATCTTTCAGAGACCTTCATAATATGGCATTTAAAATGTTTAAAAACTTAGGAATTTTCAAGACAATGAGACACATCTACTCCTGGCAGCACCAATTACTTCAAGAGGAAGATAGGCATCGAAGAGGCTTCTCATGGAGTTTGTTAGCCATTTGGGCAAGAAACTGCTCTTGCCTGGACTGTTGCATAAACTGGACACAAAGAACCTGCAGAGAGAGGACTGCTGAACTTGCCTAAAGGTGAGATGGTCTTTTGGGGTTCCTGACTCATGAAAGAATCTGTGAGACATTCTACAAGACACAGAAGAAAGCTGATGGACTTTGCCATTACAAAGCAGAACAGATCTTCAAATTTCCTGCTTCACAGAAAAGTCTGCTGTATACTATAGGCCTGTGGGCTGAAGATTAGATGCCTCAATGTTACAGAAGAACTTTGGGTGACTGTCCAGTGAGATGTCTCTGTCATTTCTAGAGTTTTGTAAGTTGCTTACGGTGCACTTCGCATTTACTTAGGTAATATTATATCCTTATGGAGTATTTGAAGGAGTTGAAGATTAGATAGTTATAATTATAGTTTTTCTTAAATATGATAAAAAATAAATTAGTTATAAATTTTGTAACTGTAATTCTTGTTAGATACCTGTTTTGTTATAAGTAATTTTTCTGTGTTAAAGCTAAAATCTTCCTTTTATTTAAACAGAAAAAGAAAGGTGATGTGAGATTCCCCTCTGTATGCTGTGAATATCATTGGTTAATAAAAAAAACTGTCTTGGCCTGTGATAGGGCAAAATAATAGAGCTAGGTTGGGAAAACTAAACTGAATGCTGAGAGAAGGGAGACAGAGTTTGGAGACAACATGTAGCCACTGCCAGAGACAGACGCACTGGAACTTTGCCAGTAGACTACAAGCCTCATGGTAAATATAAAATAATAAAAATGGGTTAAAGAAAGATGTAAGAGCTAGCCAATAAGAAGCTAGAGCTAATAGGCCAAGCAGTGATTTAATTAATACAGTTTCTGTGTGGTTATTTTGGGGCTGAGCATAAGGGAACAAATAAGCAGTCTTCTACAGCAGGGTTTCTCTGTGACTTTGGAGCCTGTCCTGAAACTCACTCTGTAGGCCAGAGTGGCCTCGAACTTACAGAGATCCACCTGCTTCTGCCTTCCAAGTGCTAAGATTAAAGGTGTGCACCACCACTGCCTGGCTTTGCATTTGTATTCTTTAATAAAGCAAGCACAGTGTCCTGGGGAGCACTTCTGAGATCCTGGGTGAATCAGAAAGCCGTTCTAGGAACAGGTGACTTTCTGTGAAGTGGATGTACTGAAGCAGATGTGCTGAGGTCCTTTGATAGTCTGTGGAGCTCATCGGTATGCAATGTGTGTTTGCTGAATTCTAAATCAATTGGATTATTATATAAGGAAAAAGCGGTCATCCACATTTTAGTTATTTACAGAGTTATATTTGGGCACGAAGTGAAATGAAGGACAAGGCTGAACAAAAAGAGAAACATTTTATGCAGGGCCCAGGAGGGAAGAGAGAGAACAAAAGAGAGAAGGTGAGAAAATATGAAGAAAGAGAGAGGAGAGCAGAGACATTGAAGAAAAGTGACTTCCACTCAGCCCTCCCATCTTCGAGGCCCTGGGCTCTGTGGCAAGCTATGAGTCCCACTTTTGTCCCTGGGTTCCTTCCTTCCTGCATCTCATTTCTCTTTTAAAGCTTTGCTAATGAAACAACTCCAAATTCTTACATCATCAAGGGGAATTAAACACTTCATGATTTTCTCTCCAAAAAAAGGTCACACATAAATGGGGTACAGTGTGAATGGAATCCTGCTGAAGGATTCCTGGGAGATGGAGCATGACCCAAGAGAGCAAGGTGATCATGAGTTCATAAAACAGATTATTGGGGCCAGGGAGATGTTTCCGTGAGTACACACAGCACATGCACAATGACCTAAGTTCAAATCCTCAGAACTCAAAGCTAAGCATGTAGCATGTGTCTTTATTCCCTGTGCTCCTACACTGATTGGCAGGCGGAGACAAGGGATTCTCCAGGAGCTACTGGGTCATCAAGCCACATATACAGAATACAGCAACAGTCAACAAAAAGACCCTGTCTCAAATGAGGTGCAAGGTGAGGACAGACTCCACAGTCATCCTCTGAGCTCCTTAGTCATTGTGCTACTGCTGTGAAGAGACACTATGAGACAGGGTTTCTCTGTGTAGCTTTGGAGCCTGTCTTGGAACTGTCTTTGTAGACCAGGCTGGCTTCGAACTCACAGAGATCCGCCTGCCTGTCTCCCAAGTGCTGGGATTGAAAGCGTGTGCCACCACCGCCAAGCGATCATGTCAACTCTCAGAAAGGAAAGCATTTAATTGGGGCTGGCTTACTGTTTCAGAGACTTCCAGTCGTCCTTTGTCATTATGGTAGGGAGCATGGCAGCACAGAGGCAGACATGGTGCCGGAGAAGTAGCTGAGGGTTCCGCATTGTGATTCACAGGCAGCAGAGAGAGAGACTGGGTCTGCCATGGGCTTTTGAAACCTCAAAGCCCACCCCCAGTGACACACCTCCTCCAACAAAGGCATACTTCTTGATCCTTCTTATCCTTTCAAAGAGTTCTACTCTATGGTTACTAAGCATTAAAATATATAAGCCTATGGGGGATGTTTTTGTCTTTTTTTTTTCTGAGACAGGGTTTCTCTGTGTGGCTTTGGTGCTTGTCCTGGCACTCACTCTGTAGACCAGGCTGGCCTTGAACTCACAGAGATCCACCCACTTTTGCCTCCCAAGTGTTAGGATTAAAGGTGTGTGATGTGCCACTACCAGTACCCAGCTGGGGGCTCTTCCTATTCAAACCACCATAGCTCCACACATAAACTGTGCCATGCACATGTCCCCCACACATAAGGATCTTGCCTTTTATAGATGCAACTTGTGCCAAATAATCTCAAATTAACCATTCTTACCATCGTACCTACAGGAATAACAATACTAAAGAAGGGCTGGAAAGATGACTCAGCAGTTAAGAGCACTGACAGCTCTTCCAGAGGACCCAGGTTCAATTCCCAGCAACCACATGAAAGCTCACAACTGTCTCTAACTCTAAATCTCACACCCTCACACAGACATACATGCAGGCAAGACACCAATGCATATAAAATAAAAAGATAAATAATTAAAGAAACAAACAAAATATTAAAGAAACAAATATCTGACCTAGGTTTTTAGCATCTTCCTCCTTCATCCCAATGTTGTCCAGGACGAGCTTCACAAGGTTCTTCAGATTACCCAAGCTGTCAGTCAGACCACCTGCCAAAGGAAAACAGATTGGCATGTGTCCCTCCCTGGTGCTGTCCTTGTTTACCACCACTGTCATTCCTATTACCAATCAGAAGACTTTAGTTATCACAAAGGGCAGCTAGTGCTCACGACAGTCACATAAACATGTTTATTTTGTCAGAAATGGGTGGTGTACTCAGTTGAAAGCATGCTGTTCAAATATAATGGAATTAAACAGAGAGATAAAAGATAGCCAGATATGGTGATCGTGCCTATAATCCCAGCACTGGGGGTGAAGAAAGAGGATTGCAGTGGGTGTGAGGCTAGCCTGGGCTACATGAGACCCTGTATTGAAAAAGGGACTGAGAAAGGAAAGGGGAAAGAAGTGGATGGAACTTAGGTGAGGAGGAAACGAGAGAAGGTAAGAAAGGAGAGAAGAAGAAAGAACAGGAAGTGAAGAGAGGAGAGGAAAGGAGGGAAGGGAAAGGGAGAGGAGAGAAAGGAGGGGAGGCGAGAAGAGAGGAGTGGAGAGGATAGAAGAGGAGAGGAGAGAAGAGAAGAGGAGAGGAGAGGAGAGGAGAAGAGAGGAGAGGGGAGAGGAGGGAAGGAGAGGAGAGGGGAGAGGAATGAAGAGGACAGAAGAGGAGAGAAGAGGAGGGGGAGGGGAGGGAAGAGGAAGGAGAGGAGAGGAGAGGAGAGGAGAGGAGAGAGACATAAAACACGTAAATCTTTGGCAGCTGAAAACTTCCAGATTGCAATTGGAGGCAGGAGCTACAGAGAGCCTCAAGGCAGCTGAAATGAAGGACAGAGGAAATACAGAGAGGGTAAGTCAGGTTCAGGGATGCGCCGAGAAGATAAGAAAGCATTAGAGCTGTTACCAGAAGTTTCAGCATCCAGCACTAGCACAGGACCAGCCAGTCTTGATTACATCCTTCGGATGTACCCATACCTGGCAGCCCCTGAGTCTGCAAGCTGTGGATGCTCAGGTTCTGGAGGTTTGTCACAGACGTGATGTGTTGCTCATCATCTATGGTGAGGGGACTGGCTTCCACAGCGAGGGAATAGATGTTCTTACAAGTCCGGAGGACAGAGCTGAGACTTCCAGCCACAGCCGCACATCTCTTGATGTACAACCGAAGGTTGGTGGCGGAGCTGAATATCTTCCCCAGATGTTTGATGTCTTGTTTATCCAACTTGCTGATATCCCGGAGAGTGACCTCTAGAGTCTTGAATTCCTGCTTCCAGTTGAAGAACAAAGACACAGCCCTGCTGGGAATGTAGGTTTCTGAGGGGCCTTCTATGTGGACTCCAGGGTTGTTCTCGACAGCCTTGTCCTGGGAAGCGGTAGCCCTTCCATAGAAATCCAGCTTCACGAAGTCCAGTGCGCTTACACAATTAGGTAATTGTTCAAAGAAGTCAAATAAGTAATCAGGAATGTTCTCTGAGTCGATGAATAAACTTTTACCGGTAAAGAAAGCTTCAAATTCTTGGCTCAGCGCTGATTTAGATATGCTCTCAGAGAATAAATTGATGCCACACTCCACAAAAGAATTTACATTCTTGGCTTTCAGATGATCTTGCTCAGTGGTGTCTCTCATGCTCTGTAGAGATTCCTGCTTCCAGAGAGGCCTCCTGGTGACAGAAAGCCCTTGTAAGCTGCCGTGCTCAGCCACCAATGCAAGGTGCCTCAAGACAGCCCTGGTGGCTTCTGTGGACGAGCCACACGTGTAGAGGAGCAGATTGCCGTACAGGGATGTGATGTCGGAGATGGAAACCATTCTCTTCAGATACTCATTCCCCTTGCTCACCTCGGCCGGTTCTCTGGAAATCAACAAGCTGCTAAGTCTGCGTCCTGCTGTGTACTCTTGGAATGATTTATGAAAGAATTTATACTTGGCTGTCAGCCTCTGAGCTGTGTACTTACAGAGGAGCCCAGTGGCCACCAGGACATCCTCGTTCATGCTGGACAGATCCTCAGGCTCAAAGGCAAACCTGTGGGAGAACACGCCCTCCAGGGCCAGGTCTCCACAGCAGTCTAGGCTCCTGACAAAATCACTCTCAGCCCCACCTCTGTGTTTATGCTTGTTTTTCTTTATCAGGAGGTCGTAGAAGGTCTGGAACAGCGTGGTTTGTGTGTAATCTTTGAATTCCTTCCTGCCCATCTGGATTGCACAGGTGATTACCACAAAGAGAGGGGTCTTCATCAGATTTCTCAAGCACTTGGACACCTGGATCTGGGATAACAGACCATCAGCCAGCTCCTTTATCAGTACTTCTTGGATGAGAACTTGGGCACTGTCTTCTGTCATATCCCCAACCTCGGCAGTCAAGGCGCCAACATGTCTGATATGTCTCAGGCACTCGGTGGTGGTAGTGACAATGACCATGTTCTTGAAACGATGGTTTTGCTTTATCAGGTCTTCGATTTCCTGGCAGTTTGGGGCCTGGAATTCGTTGTAACCATCGAGGAGAAAGAGGACTTTCTGCTGAAGTTTCACCAGCATAGCCATGAACCCTGACTTGCTAATGGAGTCGGGTACAGTTAGGAGCTGATCACACACTGTTTCAAACAGTCCACAGCCTGTGCTGCTCAGGCGGACAAAGAAGACCAATTTGAACCTGTTCAGAGCTTTGCACTCCCCAGAGGCCCAGAGCATGGCAATTCTCTGTAGCAGGGTGGACTTCCCTTTGCCAGACTCCCCTTCAATGAGGCAGGGGCTCTGGAGAGCCCCCAAAAGACTGCCCAGGGTTAGCTGCTCCACACGGTGATGACGATGGTCCTTCCTCCACAGGACAGGTTCCGTGAAGGTGCGCTTCAGATTAAAAATGATGTCGATATCTTGACCCAGGGGGTAGAAGTTCAGAAAGGCGGGGCTGTCATATAAGTATTTTAAATTCTGAGCCAGGACATCCAAGTCTTCATCTGTGTTCTGATGAAAAATACCTGTTAGAGAAGAGACGATGTTATGGAGGAGTAGATTCTGCATCACCTCTGAACTGGCTGGCTTTGTGTCAACTTGACACAAGCTAGAGCCATCAGAGAGAAAGGAGCCTCAGCTGAGGAAATGCCTCCCTGAAATCCAGCTGTAGGGCTTTTTCTCAATTAGTGATCAATGTGGGAGGGCTCAGGCCATGGTGGGTGGTGTCACGCCTGTGCAGGTGGTCCTGAGTTCTATAAGAAAGCAGGCTGAGTAAGCCATGAGGAGCAAGCTGGTAAGCAGCACCCTCCATAGCCTCTGCATCAGCTCCTGCTTCTAGGATCCTGCCTTGCTTGAGTTCCTGTCCTGACTTCCTTCAGTGATGAACAGCAGTGCTGAAGTGTAAGTTAAATAAACCCTTTCCTCCCCAACTTGCTTTTTAGTCATGGTGTTTTGTTGCAGCAATAGAAACTCTGACCAAGACATCCTCAAAGCCCAGAGCTGGGGGGGGGGGGATAAATGGCAAAGGTGCCGAGAATCAGCAGGGGATGACTTTCTCTTTCTCTCCTGGTTCTAAGATACCACGGCAAGCTCCAAACACCCATCAGTCTCCCTGGGCCCTCTTCCCCTCATCCCTTCTTCTTTACCTTCCCTTTCCCTTTTCTTGCCATCAAATCTTACAGCAGCAGATGAGCAGAAAATGAGAGGATCCTTGGTTTTAGTTAAGAAAAGTGAAAGGCTGGGCTGAGAATGTAGGGTGGGGTAAATTTTAGTCAATTACACGATTAATTCATTTACAATAGTTAAAATGAGGAGTTGGAGGTCCAGCTCGATGATGATGAAATGTCTGTCCCAATGGAAAGAGCAACGGTGACTTTTCCATGTCACCGCAGCAGGAGACAGATGAGTGACTGAGGACTGCTGGCGACGTGTGGTGGTGTTCTAGTTAAATGTTTTCTTTCAGACAGCACATTGATATAGCCCAGTCTGGCTTCAACCTCCCGTTCCACCTTCCTCATTCTCCCCAGAGCTCCCATAGTAGCCGATGCCACCACAGCCAGCATTCCACTTGTACTTTAAAGGGAGGCTATACTTAACTCACTTCTAGCCCAGCTCTGGGGTTACTTATATGGCTCCACTGTCAAATGTCTGCTGTGAATGACTCAAAGTCCCTGGCCAGTCACACAAAGGAGGAGGACGAGCTGAAATTCCATGGCAGGGACTGGGGTGTTCTGCACGGTCCTTATGGTGGGACAGAGGTGAGCAAAGCAATACTTACTTTGTCCAGTTAAGTCCTGATACATAGTAGAGTCCCACTTCTCAAGATACTTAAGAAAGAGGCTGCAGGCCTCTGAGCCCTTCTTCAGAATCATATGAATGATTTCTCGTGCAGCGTCCTGATCTACCTTCTTACAGCAGATATTGGCGGCTTCTTCATAGTTGAGAACACTTCGTGCAAACAGATCGTCTGAGATTTGCTTGGTAACTATGATGTTCATCCTCTGAATGAGGGATTGACTGTTCTCCTTTATGAAGTTCACTGAAGAAATGGAGGAAAATATTTGTTCATGTATGTATTTTAATCCACATGAAATATACATATCTGTCACCAGCATATGAAGGCTGCATATTTTTTCCCTTTAACTATGGAGATGCCAGATGTTTGACAGTCAGGCCCTCAAGAAGTACTCTGCAAGTTGGGAGGTGGTGGCGCACGCCTTTAATCCTGGCATTCGGGAAGCAGAGGCAGATGGATCTCTGTGAATTCGAGGCTAGCCCAGTCTACAGAGTGAGTTACAGGACAACCAGGGCAGTTACACAGAGAAACCCTGTCTCGAAAAGCAAAGCAAAACAAACAAAAACACAAACAAAAAGAAGTGATCCGCAAAACTCAGTAGCCCTAACTTTGGTCAGTGAACAAGACGGTTTCACTTTGGTGATTAAAATAGGTGGGTGATTTTGTTCACTGATACAAGAGTCTCTAGTGAGCGCCAGGTGTAGTGGCACTCACCTTTCATCCTAGACTCAGGAGGCAGAGGCAGGTGGATCTTTGTGACTTTGAAGCCAGCCTGATCCACAAAGTGAGTTCCAGGACAGCCAGGGCTATGTAGTGGGACCCTGTCTCCAAAGGGGGAAAAAACAGAAAAAAGAAAAATCTCCAGTAAAGTTACAGTAGTGAAAACATGGGTTTCTTTTTTTTTTTTTAATATTTATTTATTTGTTATGTATACAATTCTGTGTGTATGTCTGCAGGCCAGAAGAGGGCACCAGACCTCATTACAGATGGTTGTGAGCCACCATGTGGTTGCCGGGAATTGAACTCAGGACCTTTGGAAGAGCAGGCAATACTCTTAACCACTGAGCCATCTCTCCAGCCCCAAAACATGGGTTTCGAAGTAATGAATGGCCCTGTCCTCCAAGACCAAGAGCCGTCTTAATCAGAGCCAGAGACCCTCACAATATCACACCCATCGGCATTCTCCTCTAGGAGGAGCTGGGGGACCATTAGGCCCTCAGCTGAGATCCCAGCTACTCTCCCGTGTCTCATGTCCAGTCACCTGCTTTAACTTCACTCTGACTTGGGAGGAGCTAGAATAGAATAGAATAGAATAGAATAGAATAGAATAGAATAGAATAGAGGGTGGAAGGTTAACTGGGGAAGGTACTCTATCAGTACATACACAGGGAGCTGTCATTCACGCTGATAATAGGGCTTAAAGGGATGGGGGTGCTTTGTAGTTACCCCTTACCCAGGTCTGACAAGCAAGATCAACAGACCTACTGGTTCAACAAGCTAGACAGGTGGAATGATCACTTTAGTCTCTTCTTGGGGCTCCATCGGGGGTGACAAAATGCTTGTTCACAGTTCCCCCAGGGAAAGTTAATGCAACAGCATGAAATCAGCCACGTGTGAGCATCTGTAAACTTTGCAGCTCTCTTTTGAATCTGAAATGCTGCCAGCTATGTGGCAGCCAGTCTCTCTGGGAACAGAATATTCCTTTCATAGCATTTACTGAGCCCAGTAAGGGATTCTATATTTCCACCATGCCCAATTTCAAGATAACCACATATGTTGGCTGGCTAACAAAAACCTGAAAAGTCAACATTTCACCAATGAGAACCCATTATAGCACATGTCTGTGTCACCTGGGGAGCTGTTAGGAGAATTCATGTCTGTCATCACATACAAAGTAATGTGACAACATGTTCAGTTCTTCCTGTCACCCACGCAATGGAATAGCTGTTTTATCTTTCACAAGTTTTAGTGTTTTCTGAAAAACAGCACTACAAGTATCAGACAGTTTTCAGTCTAAGTGCCCTCATTTCTCCTAGTTTCTAGAGGAGCTACATTGTGTGTGTGTGTGTGTGTGTGTGTGTGTGTGTGTGTGTGTGTGTGGTCTGCCTCTGCAATGTCTTAATCTACTTTGGAGTTTGGTTTGGTTGACAGTACTGGGATTGATGGAACCTACAAGCTCATGCATGGGAAGTCATCTCTCTACCACCAAATTACAGTCTCAATCTTGGGCCTAACTTTTAAATACAGACAAAATTGTGCCCAGGGACTGTAGTTCACTGTCTCGGTGACAACTCAAAGGCACATCACCCTGGGACGCATGACTGACTGTGCTGTAACTATCAGATGGATAGATGCTTCTATATTCTGTAATTAAAGATTTTGTTCTTTGCTGCTGCTGCTTTAACAGGCCTCCCTATGTAGCTCTGGCTGTCCTGGAACTCACTGATGACCAGGCTGGCTTGGACTCACAGAGATCAGCCTGCTTCTGCCTCCCAAATGCTGGGATTAAAGGTGTGCAATACTGTGCCCTCATGTGCAACCGGGTTTTATAGTAAATTAAATTTTAATGTTTCGATTCATGGTGAAATACCCCAAGTGGCTAGTGGAAAATTTATGCTTGAAGAGGTGATGATGGCCAGAACGAAGAGTTTAAAGTACAGTCTGGTCACTCTGTAAGTCTTGCCCCATTAATCATCTGCCTTTTTTCCCATAGGCTTGCCGTATTTTTTAATAAATCCTCAAGGGAACATAAGAATATGCAATTGAGAATCCCACAAAACATGAATTGCTTTTTTATTTAATACCATCAATATACATAGCTAGGCAGATGGTGTTTGTAGGGTACTTACTTGTTCTCAGTCAAAGTGCTCCAACTTTTCTAGATCTCAGTAGATTTTTTTTTTTTCCAAATGGGAATGCCAAAGATGTCTCCTTCCTGTGAAGCCGGTGTTCATCCTAAGAAACTAAGGAAACAAAAACGGAAGTGATCAAATAGAAAGATTAAAGTTGCTTCTTCTCAAGGCCGTGCTTCTTTCTAGATGAGAAAATGCTTAATGCCCAAAATTGTGGTGGCGTTTCATTTTTATATAAATAAATAAAGCTTGCCTGAAGTTCACAGAGTAAAACATCCACACTGGCCAGCCTTACAGACCAGGAGACAATAACACGCACATTTAATCCCAGTAGCCACGCTAGTTTGCCATAGAAACTGGGCAGTGCTTGCCTTTAATCCCAGTGGTGCACACCTTTAATCCAAGAAGTAGAGATGATTATAAAATGGGAGGAGAAGGCTCTCAGTCTGAGATTCTTGGAGGCAGGATCACCATTTTGAACTCAGGTAGAGGGTAAGAACCAATGGCGGGCTGTTTTGCTTTTCTGCCTTCAGGATGAACCCAATATCTGTCTCTGGGTTTTTATTAACCGTGCTACACAAAATGGGTAAAACTTGCTCAGAGGTGACGGAAGTCCCTGCTGCACAAGGGTGAGGACCTGAGTTCTATCCCCAGCAATTGTGCAAACATCTGGCCCTAGCACAGAAAGCAGCTAGAGACAGGCTCACTGGCCAGCCAGTTTTACTAGCCTATGGTACCAGGTTTAGCAAAAGATTCTATCAGGAGCAGAAAGGCAGAGAGTAATTGAGGAAGACACCTGGCGTGGGCCTCTGAATTCTACATGTGTACACACACACACACACACACACACACAAACTTGCTCAAAGTATGGCTTTGACCAAATGTCTGGCTCCTTGCCTAGAGATAGACCATGGTCAAGTGGAACTTCACCACCTCCACAGGTACTTCCCATTGATGCCAATCAGAGCCAAGAGGACAAGTGAGATTGAAATATCAAAAGATGGAGCCGGACCTATTGGCTTGTCCCCAGGAAGTTAAAGGACCATTTGTAGACAGAGAAAGTGGCATAAGGAAGGAGCTTGAGAGAAAGAGCCAGAAAACAAGGTAGGGATAACAGGAAGACAAGCAAAGGTCTGGTCTTGTGCTAGGATTAGGACTTGGATTGAGATCTACCACTGACAAGCTGAGTCAATGATAAAAGGCAGTGTCTGGCACACAGAAAGAGTCACCGCAGTGCGTTCACTCCCCCCCCCCATATCTATGGTGGTTTAATAACAATGGCCCCCCTAGGCTCATATATTTGAATGCTTAGTCATCAGGAACTAGAACTTTTTGAAAGGGTTAGGAAGGAGATGTGGCCTGGTTGGAGGAAGCATACAGGCTCATGTGTACATGTGGGTTCAGTTCCCAGCACCCACATCTGTAACTCCAGCAGCAGGGCATCCTCCTCTAGCCTCGTAGTGCCTAAGGCATGTACAGGGTGCACATAAAGACAAGCAAGCAAAATGCTTGAAATAAAAATAAACAAATCAGGGTAAGAGAGATAGCTCCGCACTTAGAGCACTGGCTGCTCTTCCAGAGGACTAGGTTCAATCCCCTGCATCCACATGGCGGCTCATAATTTCCTGTAACTCCAGTTTCAGAGGATCCAACACTTTCGCACAGAAAAAATATGAATGCATATGAGATAAAAATAAATTTAAAAATAAACAAATCTTGAAAGAGGGGGTGGAAAAATCATAAGAGTCAGAGGATCAAGGACTTTGCTGTGAGATTGCATTTCTTAGTAACATCAGAATCTATACCCATGGGTCAGGTGGTGGTGGAAAACACCTTTAATCTTAGCACTTGGAGTGCAGAAGCAGGGGGAATCTCCAAGACTGAGGCCATCCTGGTCTACAGAGTGAGTTCCAAGACAGCTAGGGCTACTCAAAGAAACCCTGTCTCAAAAAAAAAAAAAAACTATACCTCCTGAAGTCTCAGCAACATGACCTCCCAAACATGAGCGGAATAAGGAGAACATGAACAAGCATGACTAACTAACTGCACAGCAGGGAAAGCCCATGCGGCCTCAACCCCACTCGAAGAACTACAGACAACCAAGGAAAGAGGGGAGCCGAAGGTGTAGCCCTCCCCAGGGCACAATTGGTTGTCCTGTACCAAGTGCTTAACCCTGAAAATATGCATACAAGTAATATTGTAAGGACTCAGTGGGATGCATTTGGGGATATAGCTGTATATACAGATACATATATGCATTCAATAACAGTTGATAAGAAAAGAACATATGAATTTGAAGGAGAGTATGGAGGTATATATGAAGAGTCTACAGGGGAGAAATGTAATTAAAATACAATATCAAAATTAAATAAATTCTATTTATTATTTATTTAGTTCTGTGTACCTTCGGTACCTGTTTTGTGACTTGCTCTGTAGACCAGGCTGGCCTCAAACTCACAGAGATCCTCCTGCCTCTGCCTCCCGAGTGCTGGGATTAAAAGCGTGTGCCACCACCACCTTGCTAATAAATTTTAAAGAAAAAAAGGACACATACTGCTCTTGCAAAGGAATTGAGTTTTGTTTCTAACACTCACGTTGGGCAACTCACAACTGTTTCCATGGGTATTTGCACTTATGTACACCGGCTTCCATGCACACACACACACACTCGCACACACACACACACACACACACACACACACACAAACACATAATGAAAATAATCTTTAAATATAAAAATATTCTTTTTTAAAATTCAACAAAAAATAGGGATGTAGCCAATTTGACCATCTGGATTTTGGGTCACCCTCTGAAAATCCTGCCTCCCACCAAGCTATCCTAAGAATAACCGAATCATGTGGAAGAGATCCTTTTGTTATGGTTGTACCTTGGCAAATAATATTTTCTTATATTAAACAAGACTTGGCTTACAAAATAGCCAAGACTGGTCTGGTGCACACAGTGTAGCTCAGTTTACTCCTAAACTTATGCTAATTCTCTGGCCTCAGCTTTCTCATTGTTAAGATTGCAGGCATGAGCTACCATATCCGGTTTAATTGGTAATGTTTTTGCTACTCATTAGATGACTTCCTCAGAGAACTGAAACTCCTCTTGACCCACGTCTAGGGAGTCATTCCCACAATGACTGATGTCAGGGAAAGAACTCATATAATTGGGAGCAGAGAGGCAGCGCATGGAACTGGTATATGTGTGTGCCTAGATTTGGCATTGCAGACTTCAAACTTGAACCCCCATTCTTCCAGTTTGCTAGATGGCTGCTTCTAGACATGCTACTTGATCTTTCTGGGGCATGCTTTCTTGCTTTATAATTTTTTTTTATATTTATTTATTTACTGTGTATACAATATTCTGTCTGTATGTCCACAGGCCAGAAGAGGGCACCAGACATCATTACAGATGGTTTTGAGCCACCATGTGGTTGCTGGGAATTGAACTCAGGACCTTTGGAAGAGCAGGCAATGCTCTTAACCACTGAGCCATCTCTCCAGCCCCGCTTTGTAATTTTTTTACATTGACTAGTGTGTGTGTGTGTGTGTGTGTGTGTGAGTACGCACGCACACCACAACATTTGTGTAGAGCTTAGAGGACAACCTGTAGAAGACAGTTCTCTCCTTGTGGAATAGTAGACGGCTCCCAGGGATCATAGGGATCAAACGCTGGTCAACAAGCTTGGTGACAAGTACCCCTACCCCCTGAGCATCTCCTCAGCCTCTGGATTATGATTTCTTTACTGAAATATGAGTGCTCATAATATCTGCCCCAAGCCTAGGACTGTTGCAATAGTTAAACACATGGGAACAGATGGAGCAGAAGTGGTCACAGTGCTTTGTCTACCATTCGAGTAAAATACGCTTTAGCCTAGAATGCTTTTAGATCTCTGCTGGACTCCAACAATCTTACTGAGTATTCTTAGCACTATGCAAATAACATATGTAAGCCACACAAACAGAAGTGAAACTGTCTAGGGGCACACTCAGGACTAATGGGAACCCGGAAGGACAAAATGGTTAGGGAGTGTTAGGAGGGCATAGGGGTGGGGAATACTCAAAGAACGTTATATAATTATATGAAAATGTCCTGGTATTGCTTACAATGAATATACCCCAATTAAAGCAAACATTTAAAACTCATGAGCAGTACTACAGACACGAGCTGAGCTGTTAGAAGCAGGACAGCTGACCAGCTTAGATCCTAGGTCCTGCAGCTGATTATTGTCTGACCACGGTGAATCTTTGTCACATTTTCCATCTCTACACCTAAGGTCAACTGAGATAACGGCTGGAAACACTGCATCACACAACGGGGTCTGTAGAGCGCTTCCTATAAACACTGGCCCACAAACAGGGATTTCCTTCCATTCTCTAAGTTCAAGCATCTTGTCTGTGCCTCAGGAGACAAGATGGACCAAGTGTCCCTCTTGCTGTCAGCTCTGGGTTTCCTTTCCATAGTGCCAAGACTCATTTTCAAAGCTCGTTTGTCTCAGAGGAAATACAAATGTACCCTCTAGGGCTCAATAAACTTTAAACACCAAATCAGAAAATCCCAGTTAAACTCCAGCAGACCAAGTTAACAATCCTGCTGTTCCCCACCCCCGCTGTCCACTTTCCCTTCCCGGCCCTACTGTCCACTCCCCCTTTCCACCCCACTGTCCACTCCCCCTTCCCCGCCCCACTGTCCACTCCCCTCTCCCTAAGCCACTGCCCACTCTCACCTCCAAGGTTTCCCTGTAGGCAATCAGCCCAATGGGCAAACCATTCACTGCAGGAAATCTTCATAGACACAAGGTTTCAATGAATCCAAACCCAAATGTCAATAATTGACTCTAAAGTTGACTTCAAATCCATTCCCTGAAGTACCTGGTCAAGCAGTCCAGTTGCCTTCCTCTTGAAGGATGAAGGAAAGTCATTTTAAAAGTAAGTTTCTCTCTCTCTCCTTTTAGTTTGACAGCAAGGCTGTTCCTGTTGATCCAAACGTCTTTGTTCAGCGAGAGTACAGAAGAGGAAGTGCCTGATGGGTTTTTCCTTTCTGAAACAGCATAGTAAGGGTGGTTAGGACACACATACTTACAAGAAAAATGAGTGAGAGAGCAGCCAGGAAGTGGGACTTTGAACTTACTCACCTGTTTCCTGCTTATTCATAATGTAAAGATTTAATGACTGTTGGCTTTTCTAAGCAAAGGGAATGAGAGTGTTTTACTGGAAACAATTATGAGTGAACACGGCCCAGGAAAACAGGATACCCCGAGCTCCAAAGATCCAAAGTGGTAACTGTTTCATGAAGGGCTTTTCTATTTTGTCTCAGTTTTTGGGTGTGTGTATGTGTGTGTTTTGTTTTTTGAGACAGACTCTCTCTCTATAGCTCTGGCTGTCCTGGTACTCCCTATGTAAACCAGGCTGGCCTGGAACTCACAGTGATTTGCCTGCCTCTGCGTCTCAATTGCTAGAGCCAGTTTAGTTTCAGTAAGTTTTTATATTAATAAAACAATAAAAGTCATAAATCAATGTAAGTTCAAGTACATTGGTGGAAACATCAGGTAGGCAGACCACAGCAAAGAAACCCCTGGGAAAGGCTTCAGATCTGAGGCCATCTTCAGCCTCTGGGTCATTAGGTCCCAAAGGTTTTGCCTGTTAGGAGCTTTTGGGTCAGACACCAAAATTGCTAACAAATTACTTCTAAAGTTCTTTTTTTTTTTTTTTTTTTTTTTTGGATTTTTCGAGACAGGGTTTCTCCATAGCTTTTTGGTTCCTGGCCTGGAACTAGCTCTTGTAGACCAGGCTGGCCTCGAACTCACAGAGATCCGCGACTTCTAAAGTTCTAATCAGTCAATCAGCTTCTGATTCTTGCTGTACCCGTTCAGTCTTAGTTCCATGCCTGAAGCCCTCAATGGAAGTAGGAAACTGATTCCTGAGAGTTATCTTCTGACCTCCAACATCTTGCACATTTTGGCAATAGTGAGCATGTGATGCTACCCAAGGCTTTGTGAATACCAACTGAGCTTCATCCCAACCCAAGTCGTTCCAAATAAACTACTATATACCCATTAGATGAAAGAAAAGGCAACACTAAAGTTATAGAAAACAGCTGAGCGAGGTGACATATGCCTGCAGTCCCAGTACTTGTAAGGTGCTTGTAAGGGCAGAAGGATCAGAAGTTTAAGGTCATCCTTGGCCCGGGCGGTGGCGGCGCACGCCTTTAATCCCAGCACTCGGGAGGCAGAGGCAGGTGGATCTACAAGAGCTAGTTCCAGGACAGGAACCAAAAAGCTACGGAGAAACCCTGTCTCGAAAATTCAAAATAAATGAATAAATAAATAAAAAATCCTTGACTGTGTACTAAGTTCAGGATCAGCCTGGGTCGTGGGAGACCTTATCTCAAAACCAAGGAATATAGCCAGGAGTGGTGGCTCTTGCCATTAATTCCAGCACTTGGGAGGTAGAGACAGGTGACTCTCTGTGAGTTTGAGGCCAGCGTGGTCTATAGAGTGGGTTATAGGACACCAGGGCCACACAGAGAAACCCTGTCTCAAAACAAAACAAACCAACTCAACACATTCCTACACACACACACACACTTGAGCTCACAAACTTAAAAATATCTGGGAATGGTGACATGACTGTAATCTCAGCTACTTGAGGCAGAGGCAGGAGAATTGCAAGTTTGAGGCCATCCTGGTCTACTGAGAGGTACCCAAAATTATTTTTTTTTGTTTTGTTTTTCGAGACAGGGTTTCTCTGTGGCTTTGGAGCCTGTCCTGGAACTCGCTCTGTAGACCAGGCTGGTCTCGAACTCACAGATATCCGCCTGCCTCTGCCTCCCGAGTGCTGGGATTAAAGGCGTGCGCCACCATCGCCCGGCCCAAAATTATTTATACAGTAAAAGCAGGCGCAGCAGCCACAGCAGAGCAGGGCATGGTGGTGCATACCTTTCATCCCAGCACTCCAGAGGAAGAGGGAAGTCTCTAGGAGTCTGAGGCCAGCCTGGTCTACAGAGTGCATTCCAGGTCAGCCAGGGCTACACCAAGGTATCATGTCTTAAAACAACAACAGCAACAATTAGTGCTGCTCTCAACCGTGATCAGGTAAACTTCTTTTTACAATGGGAAGCAGCTGATTCAGAAACTAACCAAAGGGCCTCATAATGAGGTAGTTCCAATGATTATTATAAAGTTTAGTCTGAGCTGGGAGGTGGTGGCATACGCCTTTAATCCTAACACTCAGGAGACAGAGGCAGGTGGATCTCTGTGAGTTTGAAACCAGCCTGGCCTACAAGAGCTAGTTCCAGGACAAGTTCCAAAGCTACAGAGAAACTCTGTCTTGATAAACCTAAAAAAAAGAAGAAAGGAAAAGAAAGTTTAGTTTGAAAAAGCCAGTCCTCTCAACCAATATTTACAAGAAATAAATGAGATTAGCAAGTTAAATACAGCATTTGTACCGCTCCTTTAAAATCAATAAACCTACCTGCCCAAAGGGCCAGATGGAAGAAGATTCCAGAAACCAAATCAATGATCTGAAAAATCCTGCTTGGTTTATACAGAGATGAATAAACAATTAACAACAATAGAAAACCCCAGGACCCACCCCCCATAAACATCAAGCACAGAGGGAAAATACTTTGCTGTAAGATTTCAAAGCATTAGAGTTGGCATCATGGAACCAGATTTTCAGGGCTCATGTTCTACTGCTGCTGCTTGCTATCTCTGTGACCTTTGGAAAGTATTCTTTCCCTATTTCCTGTTCGTTATCTGTGAAGAATTCCTGTTTATCCTTATCTGTGAAAAGTTCTTGCTTTACGTGGTTCTTGTGATGACTGAACAGATGAATGTAAACCACTTACCATAATGCCTGGCATCTGAAGTGTGAGCAAGTGTGAGTTATTAGGTATTGTGTGTGTGTGTGTGTGTGTGTGTGTGTGTGTGTGTTACTCAGTAATCCATGACTGGTGTGCCTCTAATCATATTTTCAGAAAGGAAGGAAATGGGACACAGCAGCAGACATATTAGAAGAGGTAACTAGAGCTTGAGAGATGGCTTGGTGGTTAAGTGTACTGACTGCTCTTCCAGAGGACCCAGGTTCAATTCCACAAGGCAGTTCACAAATGTCTGTAACTCCAGTTCCAGAGGATATGAAACCTTTACACCAAGACACATAAAAATAAAGTTAAATAAATCATTAAAAATTCTTTAAAATAAAAGAAGAGGTAACTAAAACTTTCAAGAATGCTAAAAATCTTGAGGTTTAGTATACTCAATAAATTCTAAGCTCTATTATAAAAAAACTTATCATTACTGTAATGATCTGTCCTGTCCCTTTAAGAGACAAGCCATGCCCACTACTCCCCCCCCCCCCCTTTTTGCTGAGGCAATCTGATCTTCAGCTTGCAGCCTGAGTCCTTCCCTTTTCCATCTGGCTCCATTTAGAAGAGGCAGCTTCTGTCCCTACCTTCTCTCTCTCTCTCTCTTTCTCTCTCTCTCTGCTCTTCTCCCCTTCTCCATTTCCCCTCCATAATCCATTAAATAAATACCCAGTCTCACTCTGCATGGTGTGCCTATCCATGTCTCTCTCTCTCTCTCTCTCTCTCTCTCTCTCTCTCTCTCTCTCGCCTGCCACATGGCTCCCTGCCTGGGACCAGCCGCCTTCAGAGACCTGCTGTGTGGTCTCATGGCTTGCCCATCTGTCTGTCTTTCCTCATGGGACTTGACTCGCTGCCCCACGTGGCCCACTGCAGTCACTTGGGGAACTGCACTGTCTCTTCCTGGGACCGGCTGCTCTTGGGACCCGCTGCCCACTGCCACTGCAGCCACTCGGGATCTGTAGCATTTTACTTCATCCATTACAATATCCACTTTGGGGCATATATCCAAAGGAGGCATGCTCACACCACATGGACATTTGCTCAACTATGTTCATAGCAGCATTATTCATAATAGCCAGAACCTGGAAACAACCTAGATGCCCCTCAACCAAAGAATCAATAAAGAAAATGTGGTACATTTACACAAAGGAGTACTACACAGTGGTAAAAAAAAAAACAATGACATCTTGAAATTTGCAGCAGTGGTGGCGCACGCCTTTAATCCCAGCACTTGGGAAGCAGAGACAGGAAGATCTCTGCGAGTTCCAGGCCAGCCTAGTCTATAGAGTTACAGGACAGGCACCAAAAACAGAGAAATCCTGTTTTGAAAAATTAAAAAAAATTGCAGGCAAATGGACAGAACTAGAAAAAAACATCCTCAGTGAGGTGACCCAGACCCAGAAAGAGAAATACAGTGTTTACTCATTCATAAGTTAATATCAGACATAAAATAAAGGATAACCAGACTACAGTCCACAACCCCAGAGAAGCTAGAACACTTATCCAGAAACAGATGGAAGCAGATGCAGAGATCCACAACTAACCGAGCTCCCGGAGCACAATCAAAGTGAGGGAGAAGCAATAATATGAACAAAGGGGTTAAGACCATGATGGGAAAACCCACAGAGTCAATTGACCCCACCTAGTGGGAGCCCACTTACTCCATACTGACAACTGGGGAACCTGCATAGGACTGAGCTAGGACTCCTGAATGCAGGTGACAATGGTGTGGCTTGGGCAGCGTGTGGGGCCACTGGCAGTGGGACCAGGATCTAGCCCTTATGCATGGACTGACTTTGTGGAGCCCATTCTCTATGGAGAGATACTTTCCTCAGCCTAAACACAGGCACGCTGTTGGTGGATGGGTGGGTGGGGTCCTGCCTCAATAAGGTGATGGGACAGACTTAGTTGAGAAGCAGATGGGGGGGGGGAGGTGAAGGGTACAGGAGGAGAGGAGCGGGAGAACTGAGATTTGTTGGGCCAAAATCTCAAGACCTGTAGGACAGAGAAAAGCCTGGCTCACGTTTGAGGGAACTGAGTGAGGATGAGACAGCAAAATCTAAGTAGATGCCCCTCCAACCAGAGGAAGGGCTTGGCAGTCTCTCATTGGCTGGAGGTACCCCTGCATCCCACGATGTCACTTAACCCATATAAGTTGACACAGTAATAAACTGAGTTCCTGCTTTGACTTGACTCCC